TAGACTACAATAGTGACAAAGACGACCAGGCGGCACTGAGTCGGATGTGATAGGCTTTTTCTTGTTGGGGGGGGGGTTTCAATGTCGGCGCCACCTACAGAACAAGACGACACTCTTTCCGTGGTGAGGTGGCATTATATAAAACCGACCCATCACTACCAGTGTCTCACGCAGAGAAGATGCTCGCTCATGGCCGTCAGCAGATTCCATGCCTCCTTACGTTTCATGTCCTCTTGCAACGCAATCCTCTCCAGCGCCGTCTGCCCGTTAAAGTACTTCCAAAAGGCCTGCCATGCCTTGGCGACCTTGGGGTCCCTGCCGAGCCGCCTGGTGATGGCCGCAAGGTACAGCGACTCCTTGCCCGTCGCCTTCTTGGCGTCAACGATGATGTATGGCGACACACGCGCCAGGTGCGGCGCGTCGTTGGTCGACGGGTGGTCTGTCGCCGATGGCGGCATCTTGCGTGCGTGCGCTGTCGCCTTCTCCGCGGCCTCGCGCTGGGTCTTCTCCGCGATGCGCTCCAGACGCGCCTTTTCTGCCGCTTGCTCGATTTGCGTCGGCACGTGCGCCCCTATACCGCCGCCGTTGTTGTTGTTATTGTTGTTGCCGTCGCCGCCGCCGCTGCTGCTGCCGCTGCCACCCATACCGCCACTAATGTCACCATCAACCTCGGAATGCTCGTCCGCTATATCGGGGCCCGGGCTGGCTAAGGTGTTGCTGCTGGTGCTGAGGGAGGACGCATCCTCGGCATTGCGAAGCTCGTCGCTTTCGATCTTATGCTCGACTTCGTAGATGATCTCGGGCCAGACTACCACGTAGGCGAACGTGCATAGCTGCGTCACCCAGGCACCGCGCATGAGCCAAGCTAGCATGTCGAGGTAAGTCGGGCGGTGGGCCTTGCTTGGGCAGAAGTGCTTGTATGGTCGCGGGGCGTATGACAGCTCGGCGAGGAAGTTTGTAAGTGGCGGTGCCAAGGGAAATGCCTTTTGCCACTCGAAGCTTGCCTTGGGGAGGTTGCGCGTATCGCAGTTGGGTGACATGATGTAGACGTCCCGGGCATGGAGAGGGGGTATGGCGATGGCACGGCGCCAGAAGATGAAGTGCTGGGCGTATTTGCGTACCTGACTCAACGTCAAAACATTACTCTGGCCAACTAGGTAGAAACTAGATCGCTTAGCGTAGCTCCTGGTAATATCAAGAATACTGGCGGCACTTACGACTGCGTTGGCTTTGATAGCCGCGCAAACTCAACCATAGCAACGGTGCTAGGATCCGGATCTGCTTGCAGTTCGGCAATGATCTTCTTCTCATCACCCATCAGGAGCAACGCGAAGTTGCGGTCCAGAAATCCGGGCTCATCGATAGTGTCTTCGCCAATGAAAGAATTGGCCGTTGTCAGCCAGAGACCCCTCTGTTCCGTCTGCCCGTAGTTGTGTAGGTCCGTGATGTAGAACGGCACTGGGATCTGGACTGATGGGGTTATCGGCCCAGCGGCCGTATCGAGCTGGAGAGCGGCAATCTTGTTCTGAGAGACGGCCTCGTAGATGTCCTGGACAGAGGCTGCGAGCGAAGACGTCGCCAGGATCTCGTTCCATAGTGAGCTCATTTTACGTTCTACATCCATGTCAGTATAGCAGGGAAGCTGAACAGAAACACGACTTACTGTCTTCTCGGCCCTTGTCTTTCAAAGCCGATATGCGCTTCGACTCCTTCCACACGAACTCGCTGTGTTGTTGACAGTACTTGTAGGCCTTGTTGACCTTCTTGATGATGTTCAAATACAGGGTAGCAATGAGTTCCTTGGCCTCGTGCTTCTTCGGATTCAGAATGAACACCAGATTGAACATCGTCATGGAGGCGCGCTTGTCGTCAGCCTCATCTGGCAGGGACTTTTCTTCCTCCTTCGACTCGGCCTGCAACGCATCTGCACCATTGGGCGCATCTTGACTGTCTTCGTTGGGGTCTAAATCGACCAGTACCGCGGACTCCTCTGTCCGTACAGATTTGGCTCTCTCCGTCTTGCCCTTTTTCTTTTTCTTCTTCTTCCACGTTCCGCTTTCTGGGACGTGTATGGGATAAGAAACGCAGTACAGGGGGTCCAGAGAGAGCTGAAAGAGCTTTTTGTGGTAGGCTCTCCCCGGGGTCAGGATGCTGGCGAGGTCCTTTGTGGGAAAGCCAGCGACATATTCCCAAGGCACGATTTGTATGCCCTCGTCTGTAATCAGGTGGTCATCTCCAGCGGTCCATTGCTGGAGGTCGTCGCCGTTGTTATCGGCATCTAGCAATCCGGGCTGGTTGAGACGCTCCAGGAGGATGTCGTCATATTCGGCCGACGCATCGGCTTGCTCGTGATTGTTGGATTGGGTATTGGGCGGTAAGACGTGTGGCGGATAGTGGAAGACGAAGTTGGGCCCGTCACGGGATCTGTTGATCACCAGTGCCACAGCCAGGAAGTTGGACGGATTCGGGAGCACAGGCGGCGCCATCTCGGGAGCGATAAGAGAAGACAGATGTCTGGGCTCAAGTACATGAATGGGCGGTGGCTAGGCCCGGTTTCTCAGTTAAGCCGGGCTTCAACGGTCATGTTCGGGCCTCTTCCCGTGTCGAAAGCCCAGGCAAGGAAAGCAATCTGTCCAATTGGCGCTAGGCAGGCCAGCACCCTACATTCTCCGAAATTGAACTTGGGTGTAAGTGCGGAACAGGCGGCTTTGGGGTCCTCGGTTCCGTCGATGGGATCGATCTAGGTAGTCTGATGTCTGAGGAGAAGTGGCGGGATACCTTGATAGCACGGGATCGAGAGGATGGCAGTCGAGGAGAGAGGGAACATGGTCGACCAATGGACGCCGAGTTATGGCGCTACTGCAGCGTGGGGCCCCCAAGGCGGTGGAAGCGCGTAGTGGTCCGAGCACAGCTGGTTCGGCACCTTTTGCAGTGTAGTGGGGTTGAGGCTCTCAAGAACGAAGTATGTACACATACCTAGGTCAGGTAGATACCTACCTACCTAACTAGGTATCCGTACCTTGGTAAACTACTGCTAGCTGCACCAGTACAAAGCTACGTCCGTCACATGCCTTCACACTATAAGGTACACCCAAAAAGTTGGGGGGGGCCGCTTGGCTACGTATCTCGGTTGGTTTGAGGTAAGACATGGGCTTTGGAGTTCACCCAGACGCTTAGGCAAGGTAGGCTTGATTAGACCACATGAAAATGAAAGACATGGCATATCGGTGAGAACTTTCCAACCCCCAATTTTTATCGAGAAAGAGAGACTGGGGCGCTGGCGTGGGGGATGCAACGAGAGGACGACCCGAAGGCATATGCACCCAAGGCGCGGGGAGACGCTGGACGCGTGCTTCTAGGCAGGAGGCGGGTTTAAGATAAACTTTCCGGCACAGCGCGCTGGGTTACGTTGGCCATGACGCAGTTCGTCTTGAAGGTATCGGCAACTTGTCCCTGTTTTCCGTGTCGATCATATATGGGGAGGGCGAGAGGGGGCATCTCGGCAGACGACACAGGTCAGCTCCCACAGTGACGACGACGAATCCAGGCATGGGAGCCTTGAACCAGGCTTGTCCTACATAATGCTTGAGATGGGTCCAAGAGGATAGAGAGCCCTGTAGATGGCGATGGCAGGTTTTCCTATTCGCCCGGACGTTGTTGGGGTTATTTACCTACTTGCCTACCTACCGATGTAGGCCACGCATTGATGGCGGTCACACTGCATGAGCCGGCAGCTGCAAGGCCCTGAGATGTGGATGCTCAAGGGCTTTTTACAGGTGATGAGAATGTGGCACGGCATAACACTAAGCAAGGTACCTATGTAGAGAGTAAATTATACGGCTGCAGCTGTGGTGGTGGATGGGATGTAACTATGGTAATGAGCACTCGAGTCCAAGAAGAACGAAGGCAGAATGCGGTGTACGGGACCAACTCCAACGAATATATCGGGCCTTTATCCGGCTACCAATCCATTGCAGGTACCTAACTACTTACCTATTGTTATACAGTACGTACAGGGTAGTCTTCACTATTGCATCACTCAGTGCTCTTCAGTTGGTCCATTCCCTCGGTGCACACGCCGTGACGCCGGTTCCATACGTTCCGGGTAGACAGATAAGGCCAATAAGTCTCCAAGCTGCCTACATACCTACCTAGGCAAGGCAAGGCAGTCGCAGTGTACGTAGTAAAGGTGTTGGGGAAGAGTGTCCCAGAGCCCCGCCTCATCCCACCCCATTTCGCCCCCCCGCTTGACAAAGACCCTTACTGCAGCCAATGTACAGGTAGAGTCAGTGCAGTCAGTGTACACCGTAGGATACTAGTGGCTTGCTCTACAACATTCACATGCTCTACTCTCTCTCCCCGTCGTTCTCTGACCCTGTCTCTTCCTGCTTTCTCTTCGTTGACCGACGGCAAAAGGAGGAATAGCCACAACGCACCGCCTGTAATTTCCCCAACGACAATCTCACTTTGACTGCCGCCATACCTCAGCAACCAACTCCCCCCCCCCCCGCGGCTTTTGGATCCGCACGAGCAGGGAAAAAGGTCTCGTGCTCGACTCCATTGTCAACGGCGCCAAAATCAAAGGGAGAGAAAAAATTCCCCCCGACGACTAGGCGTACCTAGCTCCTCGAACATCTTGTATATCAATCTTCCAACACCCGCTCACACCATACCGCCCGCCGCCTCTACTTTCTCTTCCCACCTGCTCTAGAACCACAGACGTCGTAATTACCACCACTTCCTGCCCCTCCCTAAAATACCTTCTGCTCCGACTCTCCCTTCCCTCCCCCTTTCTCTCGCAGACCGCCTTCCGCTGCTCCCTCTCCACACCAGCCCGGAGGCACACGACTTTTCCGCTTGAAGAACACCGTCGCCGCCGTCTTCAAAATCCACCGGGGCAATTTTCGATCCAACAATTGACCTATCGGTATTGTTCCTACCCTCTCGACACAACGCACACATACATACCCCTTCCCCGTTCAGTATCCTTCGGTCAAATCATGACCCAAGGTGTAGGCAACGGCCACCCTAACGGGCTGGTGCTGCCACATGTCCGAACACTTCCCCTTTTCTACGACAGCGAAGATTCTCAGCAATCTGCCACTCGTCTAATCCTGACTGTTCGACCAGACTGGGCCTCCGACGACTCCAACATAGAATTCGTTCGATTTACCGACGGCATCACCAATACCCTGCTCAAGGCGATCAACAAGCGGAAGCACTGGTCCAAGGAGGATATAGACAGGGAGGCTATCCTGTTGCGAGCGTACGGCAATGGAACTGCCGTTCTCATTGACCGCGAGCGCGAGGCCCAGAACCATGAGCTTCTTATGAAGTATGGACTGGCCCCCGAGCTGCTTGCTCGCTTTCAGAATGGTATGCTGTACCGCTTCATCAAGGGCAGCGTGACAGCTCCCGAGGACCTGAGAAAGCCTGCCATCTACAGGGCTGTCGCCAGTAGGTTGGCCCAGTGGCACGCGACTGTGCCCTGCATTACTCAGCCGACGTTAACGGATGGTCACGCCAAGGAGAACGGTGCCGATGGCCACGAAGATCCGGAGGCCATCATCGACAACGCCGCTCCAGGCAAGCCGGTCCCGAACCTGTGGACTGTGATGCAGAAGTGGATACTGGCCCTGCCTACAAACACGCAGGTTCAAAGGGATAGGCAAGACAAGCTTCAGAAGGAGCTTGAATACATTGTCAAAGAGTTCAGTCAGCGTCCCGGCCTTGGTGTTGATGGTGTAAGTCGCACTCACATAAACCGTAAACCTAACTTAAAAATGCTGATTGCTGCCCTCCAATAGCTCGTGTTTGCCCACTGCGATCTTCTGAGCGGAAACGTGATTGTATTACCGAGCAGCTTGTCCGCGAAGGGTGGCAGAAAGGAAGCTACGGTCACCTTTATCGACTACGAATACGCCACGCCCTCCCCAGCGGCATTCGACATCGCCAACCACTTTGCCGAGTGGGGTGGCTTCGATTGCGACTACAATGTGCTGCCCACAAAGTCCCAGCGCCGAGAGTTCATCGACGAGTATGTCCGCTCATACTTCAGATACTCTCAAGGTAACACAGGTGTCGACGTCGAAGCCGAGGTCAGGAAACTCAACGACGAGGTTGATCTCTTCCGCGGTGTGCCGGGGTTCTATTGGGGCATCTGGGCACTGATACAGGCCGTCATCTCGGAGATTGACTTTGACTATGCCTCATACGCAGAGACGCGCCTCGCCGAGTACTGGGCGTGGAAAGAGGAGAAACAAGGCAGCCGGGCGGCTGCCGGCAAAGAAATGCCCCTGCGCGAGAGACGATGGGAGCAGGCGGAGTAAAGCGACCGGTAGGTATACAGCCAGACTAACCAGGATTTCGCCTTGGACGGAGGCTTTGATGACGGCAAACAAGCGAAAGCACAAGAACTGAGAATACAAACACATGTCGCGGGAGTTTGGCAAGGATTTCTGTACATAAACTTCAACTGCGAAACAGAAATGGATCGACGGGAGCGAAGCATAATATCGACACGGGCCGGCGTCATTCAACATGAGCTCGACGAAGGCCGGGAAAGAGCTCTGGGGCGTTTTGGGGAAGGTTCCTAGACGGGGTTTCCATTACACTGCGGCTTTTATTACTACGATGAGAGATAATCCCAAGAACTTGCTATGAAGAGAGAGAAAGAGGGGACGATGGATGACAGAACCAACGCGATACTTTATGTGCACTTCAACATACTTTAAGCGAAGTGACCTCACAAGAATGTGCCGGAACTCTCACTCGTTGCACAGTCCGAAAAAACAAGAGACATCCGGGAGGGGGGTGGGGGGGGGGGGTGGGAGAGGGACGATCCAAACAACGACCAACCTCTGGTTTGCTCGGCAAGAAACCCGTCCTCAGAAATCGGACACGTTCCAGCGAAGCCAAGGTGAAAGGTGAGGTAAGGCCCATGTGCCAGCATACGGTCGTGGTTCCTGATTCCCTTTCTGATTACTGTCCGGCCGGGTTGGGGGCGGCGCTATGATACCATGGACAATTGTGCGCATGCCGCGATTGTTTGCGGGCTCCGATACAGCTGCAAGACACGAGAAAGGGAAACGGAGAAACAGAATTGCATTCATCGTCTCCATCAGCCTCTGCATTGACCACCTCTTCGACAAACAATTGGAAGGGGGGGGAAGGGTTGGTCTGGTCTAGTCTGGTCTGGTCATGTTCTTTTTCTGCCCTTTGATCATCTGTGCGCTGCCTGCCGGCACAGAGGCTAAATGGTCTTCAGTCGAGGAGAAGCTGAGCTTGCTGAGATTGAATGGCACCGGGGAAGAGGGCGAGGGTGACAACTTCAACTTCAACTTCATGCACCACACTTTCACCTAGTGGCGGCGTCGGCCGCATCCTTGTCCCGCACGATCCAGGTAAAATAGCTTCCAAAGTGGCTTCCAAGGTCACCGACCCCCTTAGGGCTGAGGATGAACCGGCATAGCAACAGCAACTGGACGAATCGGCATGCAGGGCAGTGGTACGAACAACAACGAGTCGTTCATCAATGGATCGAGCTCTCTATCGTGTCCTGGACCGCGAGCAGGTGGTTGAGATTGACGAGAAACCCAATGGATATAAAGGCCAGGAACGGAGCAGCAATTCAGGTAGTTCCATCCCATCCTCCCCTTGCACTACAAAGGTTTCGTTTCGTGAGCATGATCCGCTGAGCTAACCGTGCTACTCTTGGCGGGCGCGGACTGGTCGATCGAAAAGCGGCCATGGCAGGCGGGACTTGCTTGGCTATCAGTTTGTCATCCGGCTTGTGACATTTCTTCTGTCCATGATGGTTATCGAACTGAGTAACTTGGAAGATGATGTTCTTTTGTTCGGTACCAGATCCGAGAATCAGGATACTGGCTGCCGAAACCTGGGTGATTTGCCTCGCCAGGAGGACGAACTCGGACACCGCACCGAACCGAACCCAAGCCAGCAAAAGGTCTCGAGGGGGTGGGTGTTATCGGGGCAGGTGTCGAATCGAGTGTGCGTGTACTGACCCTGGACTGGTGGAGGATGCTGATTGATCGTTGACACCAGGCGGAGTCACCACCGAGGATTCTCCCCTAACCCCTCATACTACCACCCATGAGCCCTCAACACCCATCTCAGCAATATCCTTACCTCGAGGAGCTTCTGCCTGTTTAGCAGGACACGGCTCATGTAGAATAGCGATTAAGTAACTGGCACGCGTGCAAGGTTACTATAGAATACCCAAAGAGAATGCAGTTCATGCCGCCAGCATCTGAATGTTATTGAATCCCCACCGCCTAGGCGGAACTACGGTTCACTTGGAATCGGATCGCTTAGAGCAGCCTTTTGATCGAAAGTTTTTGGATTAAATAATGATGAAGGATATATTGAAACGCACGAACGAAGGCTGCGGTTTGAACTGTAATAGTATAATAATATGTCGTCACGACCGTGCCGCGCGTGAGAGAGACCTTATCCTAATAGCGCTGATCCTGTATCTTCTGTGTCTCGATCAATTGGTTGGCTTTTGACTTCCTTGCTCGAGGGAAACACGGCACAACAGGGAGGGGGGGCGAGGAAAGGGCTCCAAGAACATCGTCCTACCATTGGTGATGCCTCGATCTTGAGCGGCTGCATGCCGTTCGACCAACCCCATTTGCCATGCGACGGTTGATGCAGGCAGCGCACGTCTTGCGCCGCTTTAACGGCAGCTTGCTCTCAACTAGGGAGCTCCAAGCCGCAGCTATGGCACCTCCTCGCGCTCGCCTGTTGCAGCTATCTGCAGGTTGTAACGGTGACTCGGCACATGCTTATTTCTGCCGGGACTGGCCCCCCAGCATGCTACAAGTGCCACGGACTCTGTGACCCACGTGGAGATTTGGTCCGTGTGGGCGTGGGTATATCGGCCATGGATATGGCTCCAATCTCTTTCTTGGCGCGTCTGCACGGGGAATTCCCAAGGGAAAGGGTAACAAAAGCGAAATGAGAGTCGGGGAGAAGACCAGTCGGCGGCCTTTCAGACTCAATTGCGGAGAGCTGTTGCATAGGTTGCACGGTTGCGTAGGCAGGCGGGCGAGGCGGAAATGTCGCAATCTCTCTCGCCTACGGCAGGATTCCCCTGCATTTGCGTGATGCTTCGAGAACCGCCCTCGAACCTGAAAGAGGAAGCACACAGTGTAGCAGCGTCACGGAGAGGAGAGCACACCCAAGCCCGGCGGTCCATGAATGCTACACAATCAGTGTCCAGGCGCTGGTAGTTGAGATGTGTTGATTTAAAAAGTAGCTAACCGAAGCCGTAGTTGTAGAGGAGGGGACAGTGCGCGCGGTTCGTTGTGTTGCCGATGCAGCAGCTCGCAGACGTCAAGGGTTGAGCGAGGAGTAGACGTAACCTCTAGAGACTAGAGCCAAATGTAACACAGGCAAGACGGAGACAACGGGCAGACAATAAGGCTAAGCAAGCGTCCGTTTGGTCTCGTCTCATGTTCCCTTCGCCTCGATCGGTTTTTGTTCAACTTGGGGGCCAATCGTCGGAGAGTCGGAGAAGGCGCAAGCAGCCCCACGTCGACCCCCCCCCCCCCCCCCCAATCGATTATAAATGAGACTCTGGGTTCTCTACACCAGGACGAGCATGAGCAAGTGAAAGTCGTGGAGACGCAAACCAAAGGGCGCCACGGAGGACGGGAAATAAAGCGGTAAACGACGAGACCCTGCAAGAAAGCCCTACCCGGTAGCGACGAGGGTGGGCTGAGGTGTACAGATACATGCCGAAGGGGGCTGGAAGCGAGGCTGGCTGTGGCCAATACGCAGGCAGAGCGGTCGCTGACCACCCCACCCACTTACAATCCGTTGTTATAACCCCCTTCTGTCGCTCCTTTTGCGCCTCCGTCTGCAGTGGGCCGATGTTTTGGGTTGTAGCAGTCACCCTGGAGGCAGTTCGAGATTTCGCTGCGGGCACGAAAGCGGCACACAGCGTGTAAACTGTCTCCTTATTTGCGGGCTCCTAAGGGACCTAAGAGCGACCTGACCAAGCAAGTGGCTCATGTAACCAGGCAGGGAAGCAGGGGGGTAGGCCTGGGGTGTAGAATACACTACCAGTTGATAGGGTCTGTAAGGAGGGCACAGTGCCTATAGCCCGTGACCTGTGCGAGTTGCGGGGTAGGACTGTCCAAGACGAGCGAGGTAGGGCCGAAGGAGAGCTGATAAGAACCCGCCTGTTACGAGCCTACATCGCGTGCCTGCCAGATTCGAACAGGTCAATCACGAAGTAGTCGAAACCTTTGGCAGGTGGGTAAGCTTCTGGTTGATTGTCGTAGACTGAAGAGCGGCGGTTCTATTGTGTAGAAGTGGAGAGGCCGATTCGCGAAGGAAGTCGAGAGATAAGCTAGCTGAGAGCTGGTGGACGATGCAGGCAAGGCGAGGCGAGGCGAGGCGAGAGTAGTGTACAGGACCCTTGGATGTGCCTGTCGGTCGGGTGGCGGCCGAGCTCTCCCCGCAGGGTACCGGCCATGTTTTAGAGGGAGAGAGAGAATGAGTACCTTATGATGGTCGTCCGCACAGGAGGCATATGTCGATGAACCGGCCTGGAAGAAGAGGGGAGGGGCACAGAGCAAGACGCCAACAAGTAGAATGACACCGGCAGGCGAGGGCATCAGTGAGGAGGGCAAAGTTGGAAACACCTCCTACGAAGGCAAGGGGGTGTAGGTTCCTGCTTTAGGTCGCTTGGAAGATGTAGCTCAAAGTAGCGGGAACCTGGGTGAATGAGATGAGAAGCGACTTCTCGACAGAGTCAGGCCTGACATGGACAGGTTTCTGATGTGTGTGGCAGATGAAGATTTTGGTTGCGCGGGTATCGTCACTTTACTGTTGGCCGAAATCTACACTACCCAGCCCCACGATGAGAAGGAAGAGGGGAGAGGAGCTACGACCTTAGCTGGTCAACCAGCGGCATTCGTACGTTTTCGACAGAGAGGACGGCTGGTATGAACGTACCTTGGCTTCCTTCCTTTCTTATTTCTTGTTGGTCATCTATAACCGTACCTACCTGTCCTGTTATGCCTTGCTTTGCCTTGCTTTGCCTTACCTTGCCTGCGGGTACTGCGTATCTAATCCATCCAATGCTTTTTGCGCAAGCTAGAGAAACCTTCCCAGATCCCGGCCGGGTCTGTCGCCGCTTTGCAAGGTCTCTCCGTCCCATCCTACCTACCTAGGTAGGTGGTTCGCCTCTCCCAGCACACAGTACCGGTAGGTAATGTACCATCGATTACACTCCAACCGTCAGGCCTCCATCCTCAGATCAACACACCCCCTCCCTCCCGGTTACCAACAAGTCCAAAAGCCCATTTGGGGGTCCCTCTCTCAATTCCAGGCTGCGCCCTCTTTGCCTCTTTCTCATCATTCACCGCACTCCACCCCGACCTTGTCGCCGGTGCAGGCTCTTAATGTCTCTTGGCCTTGCCTTCCATGGAGTGTGCCCTCCATACCTACCTACCTAATCAACGCCGTCAACCACGCGCCCCACTTCCCCAAATCAACCCTGTCTGGTTATTAAGGTAATAAGAAGAGCTATCACCCCAATGAGGGAGGAGATCAGTAGTGCGATCGGGTATCGTGCTTTCACTCGCTATTCTGTCCAAGACCGCCGAACCCCTCGACTGCCGCCAACACTGCCTTCGCGCTGCACAGCAATTTGCCTCTCGAGAAATTTATGAATCTCGCCCTTCCTTTGGCCTCGTCGGTGGCCGCCCGCACCCTTGCTTCTCTCGAATCCTGCTCAGAGTAGAGACGGCATACAGCCTGGTGCAGAGAACTGAGCTCGCATTGGAAGCAACACGCTTCTGACTGGGAGTCTGTCTGCACTAGAACTGGACCTGAAAAGAAATCTCGACGGACCAGGTCTAGCCCAAGAAGCAAGCGGTGTCCAGTTTCGTCTGCTGTACCTTACATCACCTCGCCTCGCTGGACCCTGACGGACCTCCCTGGTGCAAAAGAGGCAAGAAAAAAAAAGAAAAAAGCTGGAAACCAACAGAAGGGTGAAATTTTGGTAATTCGCCAAAGACAGGAGAGGATCTGCGAGAAACGGGGAGAAAAACAAGCGAGGGGGGCAAGAATACGCATACGCATCTAACATTAGAAAAGCGATGAACCCAGCCACCCCACGCTCCCAGCACCAGCAGAAGCAGAAGCAACAACAAATACAGCACCACCAAAACCACCACCACCCGTTTCAAAAGCTGATGGCATGCGCAGCCCATGTGCACCCATAACTCCTCTGAAAAAAGAAAAGAAAAAACATGGTCCCGCCGCTGCAAGCTTTCCTCTGATGCGTACAAGTCGAAGCGACGTATAGACGGGCGAGCCTCGAAAGACCAAAGGTCAAAGTTCATGTGGATTTTCTCTGCTTCGTACACGCCCCGTTCTATTACCGACTTGAACAACGCTCAAAGTGTCGTCGTCGGCTGGAGGAGGACGCCCTCGAGGTCCGGGAGGAATGGCAGCCGATCCTCACACCATCCCCGATCCGGGCCTCGACGGCGCCATTCGCCAACTTCTCGACCAGCAGGCCGATATTCAAGCCAGGCTTGCCGCTTTGCTGCCCGCAAAGTATGGTCCTAATGTCAAGCTGGAGCTCGATATGCTCCGCCACAAATTGCGAGTTTTGCAGGCCTACTCCGAAACTCATCGTAAGCTTACTGCCCCTCCTGATGCTTATGCGATCCGGTCCTGACGACTTGGCTTGTCCGTACAGGCCTTTCATCCACTACCCCCATAATATCTGAGCTCGAGGAGGCTAGATCGTTGCAACATCGGTGCGAGTGCATCGAGGTTGCTTTTCTGGAACAAGGTGAGTTGCCGTTTGCGAAACACAGCATGTCTGAAGTGCGACGCCTCTTGACTGGTACCTAATTTCTCGTTTAGGCCACGATCTGTCAGACCCCAGCATGGTAGACGCCCTTAAGCGATTACTTTACGACGAAGCGCCGTCAGGATACGCAGCCTGGTTGGATCGTAATCTTGCTAGTTATGATCCAGTTGTCCGTGGGTGGAAAATAAGAGAAAGTTTGTCGCCGTCATCTCGACCCCCTTCATCCTTCAAATGCTGGGACGAGCGTTGTATACACTTCATTTACGGCTTTTACAATAAGGATGACCGAGACAGCCACGCCCGGGAGCATAATGTCCACGCCCATCGTGATTCGGGTATGTCCGTTGGCAACACTCCGCCTCTCCCCTTTCTTGAGCATACGATACCTCGGCCATGGGGTTCCGATGCTGCAAAGCAGCCTCTGGCGCTTCAACTTCCGAAAATACCCTCTGGCACCCAGCTCCCTCCGTTGGCAGCAAGCCAGCCCAGGGACCGTCGGGACACTTCGCAGTCCTATTCAATGGCCAGCGAGCATTCCGGCCCTGGGCGAGGCTCTGTTGATTCCGAGGTCGACCCTTTGCTCCCCCCTCTCAAGCGTAGTAGGGTTGGCCAGTCTCGACTACAGTCCATTGGCGAGCTCAGGTTGCTCCAAGACTCCGGACCTTGTTTGCGCTGCCTGGCAAAAAAGCAACCAGTAAGACTTGTTCATTCGTGACAGCGCTTGTTGTAGCTGCTAACCGATGCTGGCAGTGCGACTCCAATGATCCTTGTCACTATTGCATAGACTACACTCTAAGCCCTGGCAATGGCTTTTGGAAAGCAATTGGGTGCCATCGTGGCCCTCTGGATGCCTTTTCAGACATCATGCTTCCAGGTCAGTTTTTAGTGGCTTGAGAGAAGTGCCGGGTTGAGCTAACAGGTGTAGCGCCAATATCCCCGAGACAAACCCATACCCCGATCACATCACCACTCACTCGGCGGAGAAGTATGAATGACCATCTGGAAAACTATTATCGAATTTCTCCAGACATACTACATGCTGTCAAGTCGAACCTCGACTTTGATGACGGCTTCTGGTGGACAGAAGAGCTCGCGAACCTTCCCCTGGCCAATACTACAACTTCAACCTACTCTAGGGAAGCAGTCGAGCGACCGCCACCGAGTCTAAGCGTACTTACAGCGAGTTGGAACGGCAGTGGGACTACATACAACTTTCTCCATCTCTTGAAGACCAGTGGGCTGATTGCAGCAACGAGAGACATGGAAGAGGCCGTCTTCCCAGTCCTGTATCGAGCGAAAGTGCTCTTGCGAGAAGTCATATTTTGGGACCTCGAACAACCGGAACCTTCGATCTGTCTGGAGAGCGGGCCCCAGCACCGACCCCTATTTATCGACGAGGTTGGCCAAGATGCACATTATCGCCTGGTTTGCAACTGCATGGCGCAATTTCTTCGGGCTTTTGGAGGCGCAACTATCAAAAGTGTCCCACAGGACCCCAAAAGCTGGCTTGCCGTATTTATCGCATTGTGCATTTTCAGCGTTGTTCGCACGATACTGGCGGGCCATGCGTCTTACCTGCCAAGACGCCCATCATCCCAGCTGCCACCGACTTGGAGAGGGACAGGAGGTGCGCATGCAATGCACGGCCTCTACAAGCTCTTGGTCACGATCTTTGCGAGTTCCGGACCAATGCTCCTCGATGAGCAAGTATTCGACTTGAATGACCGGGACAGGGCTGCAATGGAATCGCTTCATGTGGTTGTCCGAAAAGGCATTTGGACCCAGCAGGGTTTTGCGTCCTCCAAGGACTTTCTGATGCGCCTGGGAGATGGTGATACGGAAGGCACAACCACATTCAACGGCTTTCTGAGGCAGAGAATTCCTCCGCGGACCGGCATGTTCGTCCTACCACCCATTGTTAAACCTGGGGAAGAACCAAGGCGTCCCATGTATGACCCCCGGGCTTTGGGCGATCCCTGGGTCCCGCACCCGGCCCCACTTCTGGACCGAGACCCTTTCGGTGCGACTGGTGGCCTCGACTACCTTACCTCCCCCCAGGGACTGGACCCGTTAGGTCGCAGGCACACAGTTGGAGAGAGTCCAACATTCCCTCGGGGACCCATGCGGTCATTGGAGTCTCCGCTTCCAGGCGGAAGAGGGCGACCTACATACCAGCGGCCGCCCTTGCGTCGGGTCTACTGCATCAAATGTAACGAATACCCAGAAGGATTCAGGGGCGAGCACGAACTACGAAGGCATACCGACGCGAAACATGCCTCGTTAGTCAGGCGTTGGGTGTGCACCGAACCAGAAAGCTACAGTCCGACTCTGCCACAGCCAGTGGTTCCATTATCGAAATGCAAAGCTTGCGTTACGCAGAAACGGTATGGAGCGTATTACAATGCAGCGGCACACCTCAGGAGAGCACACTTCAATCCGCATAGGGGTGGAAAGGCTAGTGGAGACTGGCCCCCCATGACCGTTCTGAAGGACTGGATGAAAGAAGTGCGGCAATCTGTCGACATTCAGGACCAGGACGATTCCAGTGGAGGGGAGGAGGTTGACTACAAACCACCGCCAGAATATTTTACCCAAGCACAGCCACTGCCGCCGGCGCCGGCTCGTTCTCCCACTTTTGGACCAACGATGCTGGCAGCAGTGCCGCCAAACGCTCCCTTGATGATCGCTCCCGCTGAAGCAATGGTCTCATCCCAGATAAGCAGCCCGTCGAGCAAGACACTGGACAATCGCACACGCTGCCCTCATCCGGATTGTGGCCGGGTGTTTAAGGATCTCGCGGCTCACATGCTCACCCATCAAGAAGAACGGCCGGAGAAGTGCCCTATAGAAACGTGTGAGTACCACACCAAGGGGTTCGCGCGGAAGTACGACAAAAATAGGCACGCTTTGACACATTATAAAGGGACAATGATCTGTCCCTTTTGTCCTGGAGTGGGAACGGCGTACGAGAAAGCGTTTAATCGAGCCGATGTTTTCAAGCGCCACCTGACGTCGGTCCACAACGTTGAACAGACACCCCCCAACAGCCGGAAGCTCATTATCAGTGGGTCCGGCAACGTCCGCGGCGATGGCGCGAAGTGCTCAATTTGCCAAAGCTACTTTGGCACGGCTCAAGAGTTCTATGAGCATCTGGATGACTGCGTTCTCAACGTGATTGTGCCGGCGTCATCCAAAACACCCAGAGATACTTCCGTGTTACCCTCAACGTCGGGGCTGGACGAGAGGGACCGACTGGGCGACAGCGAGAATATTAACGTCAAAACCGGGTCGCTTGTAGGCGAAAAGATGGACACTAATTCATGATATAATGGCGGATCGGTCGCTGAGTAAATGCCGAGAAAGTTTTATTATATACGCCCCATGTGTAGGATGATTATTTGTCTCCCCGAATACCCCCATTGTTTACAATTTTGCAAATAACATTTGACATAGCGTAACCTGTTAATAATACGATACCACTGGTTCACGGTGGCCGAACTCCCTTTCTTATCATAAATTTCCCGATTTCATTCGGTCTTCTCCGGTATGTCATTGTGAGCTGCTAGTGGGTGGGGCCAATAAGGATACTCGCTCATCGACCTCCGGTAGGTACGTCTCTGGGCGTTGGAAGTCCAGAGCAGCTTTATATTTACCCTTCTTTTTAATCTCTGCCTTCTTCCAATTTAAATCACTCTTGATTTGCAGACAGGGACAGAAAGCACTTGACGGATGTTGGATATATAGCAATTGGAAGCAACCATGGATAGCTTCCATCGATAAGCCTCTAGCGCCTGTAAAACACCAGCCACGCAATATTAGGCACCTGAGTTACACCCCTCGATACTTCATCATCCATATTTACATGTGCTTCCGTTAACCATAGATACTTTGCTCATCCCATCTTACGTTCATCATCAATTGCTTGTACAAAAGAAATTGGGACAGAGTGAAACTGAGGGGAGAAGGGAAGATATAGAGAGAGAAACAAAAGGGAAGAATATAAGGAAACTATCTGTTCTTCGTGGAAGCTCCCTTAAACCTCGAAACCGACAGAGATGAGCCCTGTGCCGGTCTTGGGCTTTCTTGCGTACCCGTTCAACATCCTCCATCCGGCGCCGCAGCCTCGCCCCTCCTCCACGATGGCAGCGACGCCCTCGACGCTCTTGCCGGCCTCTCTCATTGCGGGACCGGCCGTCACTGTGTCTGCGAGTCGTAACTCACCACTAACCTTCTCCATCTCGCATCGCAGCAGCCAGCGTTCCCAGCTCCAGCCACCAACGATGCCCGTGACGTTGGCCACGCCGTCTGTGCTACCGGTTACCATGGCCTCCATCGTTACCGTCCTGACTTCCTCGCCCGTCGGGTTAGCCCGGACGGCGGGAAGTGAGGGAAGAGGCTTCTCTTGTTGTTGGGAGGGCGGGCGCGCGCCCATGGGCAGGCACACCCACGCGCGCCGGACCTCGTCGAAGCCTGCGCGAGAGAGGCGGCCCAGAAACATCTTTGTTGGGTTCGGATCATAACCCAGGGTCTTGAGATCGAAACCGAACTCGACACTCTTTGCAAGGCCGAGAGGGCCCGCGTTCATGATGTCCGAGTCAAGGAGGGAGAACTCGAGGTAGCCGCCCGGCTTGAGTACGCGCAGGCACTCCCTCAGGCACGTTTCCCACTCGTCTTCGCCGTTCTCACCGATAAACTTGAGGATACTGTGCAGCTCGCGCGCCGAGATGAGGTCGAACTGGTTGTCCTTGAAGGGCAGGCGAGTAAGGCGCTCAACGGCGACCTGGCGGTGGTTGGGCGGGCCACGGACATTGGAGTTGGACAGTTGGCGGATAGCCTTTGTGGTGACGGTGTAGATCTTGGTGTTGGGATACTGCAAAGCGCAGTGCCAAGCCCAGTCGCACGCCGACTGGCCGCCAAGATCGAGGATGCGCGCCCTGTCACGGGCGACGCCGTCGCGGCCAGGGGCCATGCGGGACAGGCGACCAAGGCGTTTGGCGACGGGCGCCGAGATGAGCTTGCCGCCGTTGAGCATCTTGATAGCGGCGACATGCCAGGCCGGCATGGCCATCTGGGACATGGCCTCGCACTCCTTCTCGCGGCGTAGCTTCTCCGGGTCGTCGACAAGGATGTCGTCACCGCGAGCGACGTTGGCGCTGAGGCGCTTCTTGGCGGATTGCGGCACGACGCTGAGCTGGTACTTGCCGAGAAGCTGGTTGCGGTGGAACTCACGCAGGCAGACACGTTGGGCCTGGAGGGCCTCAAATCGGGGGAGCTGGTGTACGAAGACGTCCTGCTTACTGGAGCGAATGACGTAGTCTTGGAAGGCGCGGTAGTAGGCGGACTCCTGTCTAGAAAGCTTGGAAGGCAGACGACGGGGGATGTCGGTCTTGGTGATGATTTCGGAAAAGCGGACAGTCTTTTTCCTCGGTGCTGACGGAATCTCCTGCTCCAGGAAGCTCTCGACTTCCTCGTCAGCGGCTTCCAGGATTGTGCCAAGGTTGCGGTCATGCTCCTCTGTTTGGCTGGCCTCGAGGGGTTTTAAGTAGGCGCGCTGGGCCATGAGCCATATCTCTGTGCGGTCGAGATTGGAGAGGGCGACCTCCTGTTGCTTGCGCGCATACTCGGGGTCGTAAACCGTGACGATCTCAGTTGGAGCATCCTCAACCTCGGGGGAGGTTGGCTCAGCTAGCGTCACGGAAGAGCTTGAGCCATTTGCTGGAACAATCGGCCTGGCAGTTGGCATGTCATCCTCGTCCATCTCCTTGTCATTGACCTCAACAACCTGCTCTACGATTGCAGAAGTAGACGTTACTGAGCTGCGGTAGTATTGCTCGGCAGCATCGTTGAGAATGAGCTTAGCGGGTGCAGCCGGGACTGGAGGTACCGAGGCGTCCACGTTCCAGGGGCAGCGGTAGAACTGTTCTGCGGTGGTTGACGTTGGGGGCACCATGTCCTCGGGGGATCTCGTCGGCATGTGCCATGTTGTCCTTGTCCTGGGCGAGAGGCCAGAAAAGAAGCCGCCAGGTGAAGGGATGTCAAGCTTGGTGAGATCAGCAAGAGACCGACGGTGAGAGCTGGGGGTGAGCTCGGCAACACGAGCCGGCTGGGCAAAGAGATTTGTGAAGAGACGCAGAGGTTGTTGACGCATTTCGGGCACAGGTTCTTGAGGAATCTCAAGAACCTGATCGGAGTGTTCATGATCATGTTCGTGTAGGCTATCGTTATCACCAGATAGAGCATGCAGAGTCGCCAAAGCGCCTGGTTGAAGTCGCACGCCGGACCAGTCTGCCTCCTTGCCGTCGTCGCTACCGATGATAGGGGTAGGTGGCGCTGACATTTGAGCCAACTGCTCTGAACTCAAGCTCCCATCGAGAGACGGCGGGGCCGAAATTGTGGGCACCTCCTGAGCCTGCTTCGCCTGCATGAAGGAGAAGACTTGAGGAGACATCTCGACACGGGTTGGTGGTGTAGGAGGCACTGGCGATGCGAGGGTCTTTTTGAGGCTGGCAGCAGACCAGTCTTCTGTTGATGTGTTCCGACCGCCGGGTATGACTAGAGGGGGTAAAGCTCTTCGAACACCAGCCGCAGTCTTCTTCGACACCGCGTTACGACCAGATTTGCGTCTCCTCACTGAGTCTTTGCGCGACGGTACTCGACGCAACTCGGGGGGCTCATCCTCATCCGTGACATCGTATAGGTCATCGAACTCGGTGACGTCGGTCATTACGCTTGACCTGTTGTTATTCCATGGGTTTGAGGAGGTAGAAGGTGAGCTACTCTCGTCGGCCGAGATGGTCGATGGTGAGGACGGCAAGATCGGGGCAGAGAGGAAGTGGAAGCCTCTTGGTGTGGGAAAGTGGTCGCTGAGCGGTGATAACCAGGCTTCAATTTTGAGGTTCGACGTTTGGCTCCGGAGCTGCCTGTTGTCGGTAGCGTACTGTGTATCCTCGCTCTCCTCCTCCATTATAGTATTAAGTGACCTCACCAGCCTTCTAGCCTGCGAAGGAGAGGGAGGCCTGTATGTTGACGAGGGTAAGTGAGTAATTTCAGCCATATTCCCCTATGCAAGTCAGATATCCTGATATAGACTTGCAGTTGAATGTGCTGTAACAGTATAAGTATAGGCAAAATGCGACGTTGCGTCTAGATAAGCGCCTCTCAAAGGACGGCCAGCGTCTATGTCTGGATATGAAGGGCAGGAAGAAAATTCGTGTAAACGACAGGCTGCTTCGATCAACGAAGCCTTCAAGAGGAGGGTTTGCAATAACAAGGACACAGCGAAAGAGATGGGAAAAGAGAAGAGGAGAGGGAAGAAGGTCTGGCGGTTGGCCAGGAGCGAGTGATATAATTTCGCGAGACCCTGCTCTTCCACGACGGAAGGCGGCTAACCTGGTGGTGGCCGCATGAGTGGGTTGCGAACTACGCTGTCCGCACCACGCACGATGGGACGGTGAACTGAGCGCACCCGAGAGAGAGAAGACAGCATAGTATCGCACACCAGATGCATTCGCTCGGCAGCACCCATCATGCAGCGCGCCTGCTGCAAAGACTGCATTGGCCCGAATGGGAATGTGCTGCCAGCGCGTGAGAGACCGTGATGGAAAGACGAAGGGCCCATCTCCACCCCAAAAGGGTATGCCATCAGTTCATGAGTGAGACCTTTGCCCAATGGGCATTCGAAGAAGCGTATCTAATTTTGGGACACAGGAGGCGAGCATGGTCTGGGTGAGCGGCGAGTGGCTGGCGCGCGCGAAGACGAGAGGTGAGGAGGTGGGAGCAAATCCTGATTGGGAATGCATTGCTGTCGAGCCACCCGCCAATGACGATGGCTAACGCAAGTTGGGCGCTTAAAAGCGACATCGATTGGACGACTGGCCACTTGACCTAGCTCTGTCGCCGAGTTGAACGGGTCCCTGAGTTGGCCTCATGGAGAGAAGACTATTGAGTGTCGCATAAACTTCATCAAGACTCAGCATGCAAGACTTCAATGGACTATCGGCCTTGACTGCTCAATCGGTGATTCAGTTCGGGCCAAGCACGCACGACATGGAGATGTCAGTGGTCCGATGGTCGTGGCGCCCGAATTCAAAGCAAGTGGAAACCAAAGCGCCTTCAGGTTGGAAGCATGTGCATATTACTGAAGTCATCGAGCTGAGCGCGCCGAGCCTGTACACAACGTGCAGGTTGAATCACTTGCAGGTCCAGTGAATGCGTTGGTGATGTTTGTGGAGACGGAGGCCGGAGGGAAGCGGATCGGAGAGGGCGGGTCAGTAGCGGTCGAATCGCCTAACCTCTAAGCTCCAGCCACAGCTGATTACTTAAGCACTGCAACTGGGGGTGGTCTGCTGTGGCAGTTCATGCATGCCCCGCCATCAACTCAATCAACCCCGCAGTCGGCCGTCCTTGGAACAGAGAAGACAAGAGGAAGGCACGCGTCTCCTACGTCCTTGAATCCTTCGCTTGACATCTTTTTGCAAGCGACCCCTCCACTGTCAAAACCGGCCCTTTCAAATCGTCATGGCCGACAATGACAAGCCAGAAACCTCTGGTGAGCCTCAAGGCCGCCATGTGATCTACTGTGGCGGTAAGTTTCTCACATTGCGGCGCATGAACCCAAGCATATTCAAGACGCGAATTCTGACTTATTACCCAATGTATAGTTTGCACCCTTCCCCCAGAGGTATGTTATTATCACTCAAAAACCTCACCGGAAAATAGCAGTGCTTAGTCGTGTTTATGATACAGTACTGCGAATATGGCGGCACTGTCAAAAAGTGTCAGGACTGGCTTGAAAAGCACCATCCCGACCTGTATGCCAACATATGGTCGCAAGGTATGACTCCGCACCATGTCTATTTCCTTGGTGTTGCCGAGATACTTATACACCATCTATAGAGGCTCTGGAGGCAGCGACTGCATCCCTCTCCGTCGACGCACAGAAGCGAGCTGCCAAAGACGCACAGAAGAAGGCGGCTAAGGCCGAGGCTGCCGAAGCCAAACAAGCCGACAAGTTGGCCAAGAGTGTCGTCACCATTAAGAGGATCGAGCGCAACAAAAGAAAGTTCGTCACGTCCGTCTCCGGTCTTGAGTCTTTCGGGCTGGAAAACAAAAAGGTCGCCAAGGAGTTTGGAAAGAAGTTTGCTACTGGCTCATCTGTTACCAAGACCCCGAGCGGTGGCGAGGAGATTGTAGTACAGGGCGATGTCAGTGACGAGATTGAGGAGTTTTTGTTGGAGAAGTATAAGGAGATACCCGAGGACAACATAGAGCTGGTGGAAGACAAGAAGAAGAAGGCCAGCGCGCCGGCTTAGACTATTTTGGCAAGAGGAGGCGACGTAGTCTATCAATTGATTATGAGTATGCCTGGCTGTCATCATTTCTGTCATTATTCCCCAAACGCCGTTTAAATCCCACAGGTGACCACATTCAGGCGCACCGTGCATCCGTCGCCCATGCTAGCAATGCCGTATACCCAATGATCCCTCACACGATTCATACAGAAGAAGCTAACCTCTTTTCCGCAGGACTCTCGTAGTTCCTGCTGCAGATGCTGGTGCCGAATGGGGTGCTGCTGGCTTCCTAGTTGCCGCGCCAACGCCCTTCCTGATTGTGCCCATGACAGTTCTTTTCGCGGAAGCTGATGCTGTCTTCTTCTTTACAACGGTTCCTGTGCTGTCTTCGCTAGAGTCGCTAATTCGTTTGCCCGTTCGCGTTCCAGGTCGCGATGGTGCTTTGGCTGCAGTTGTTGTATTGGCGCGTCGCGTTCTTGTTGGAGGTGCAGTACCTGTAGCAGGTGCAGGTGCAGATGCGTTGGAGCTGGCTGTCGAGGCATTCAGAGGATGCGACGGGGCTGTGCGGCCGGTCTTCTTGGCTTTCTCAACCATATTTGAGAGAGCCGATCGAGCACTCGTGTGCTGCTTCGTGGGGGATGTGGGTCTAGCGATTTGAGAGGACTTTGACGGCGAGGAAAGCGGTCGCTCGCGTGCCAGCGACCTAGTGTTTGATGATGTTGGCGATAGTATCTGAGAGGAGCTCAGAGGTGCCGGAGCAGCACGATGTTTTTTCTTGGGATTGAGAATCTGCTCATTTTCCTTGTCTCCGCCTGCCATAGCATCACTACCGTCCACCATCAGTGTACATTCACGTAATCGCTCTCAATAATAACATACCTCAGACGCTTGGTAGGACGCGCTGGAGGTGCTAGTTTGTAAGGGCTCGTCCGGAGAGCAAAGTCCTTTTCAGGCACTGGGGGCGGCCGCGAAGCTGCCTCAACGCGCTTTTGTTGCTCGACGGCCCTAGCAACCAAATCGGCCATAGTCATCTTGAGCATGGATCTGGGAACGCGGTTGACGCGCATCTGTATACGTGATCGAAGGGTTTGTGCCTGCTGGTTGTATTGTGCGCGAAGTCGCCTGGCACGATCGGTAACTGCCAGACCATTAGACGACGCGTCTAGTATCATCGCGAGTTGTACACTCACTCTCTAATTGCAGGTTATCGATGATCGCCTGTTTCTGCTCTAAGCTGATTCCAAGCCTTTGCCGCTTGCTGGGACTGCTGCTCAGCAAAGGTGTGCCGGCATTTGTAGGAACTGCCTGTCTTTCTGACATCGCGGGCTGCTCATCGACTTCGTCCGAAACTCTCTTCTTCGTTCGCGCGGAAGCCATAGTGTCTTAGTGTCTGTTGTTGGGATTTGCAGATGGCAATGTGCGATGGTAGTTGGCGCTGGAGCAACGTGCCTAATCGCTAGGAAGGCGTGAAGGATGTTGAAAGCTAAGGATGATAGGTTGGAGGCTCTGTTGTGAGTGGCTGGTACTCTAGAAAGTAAACAAACTCAACAGCGGTTAAGTATCTTACATAATCCTGTCTAGACCACTACCAATGCAGCAAGGGGTTCCGCCACAAACTCGTTACAAGGACACTGATTCGGCTGACCCTGTGTACTGCTATCAGACATGTTGCGCTGGTTGACCTAGCTATCACTTTATTTTTGGTATCGTAAACCATACCGCTGATCAAGATGAAGTTACACTTGAGTTACTTGATATAATATTGAATAGTTTGTGGGTAGCAGAGCTAATGAAGCTGAACCTCATGGCTTACAAGCAGCCCGATACTTACTTAACCCGTTGTTGGATCCCCACAGGCGTGCTTGCCTATCTGGGAATTTATCTGAGAGACAGGCTTTAAGTTCCAGTACACGTTCGAGCCGCAAGATAAACCGGAAGTCCAGGTACTGCTACATGTACGCAACCAGCGTCACCAGGCTGAACTGCCTTACGCAGGAGCTCCTGCCCACCAAGCTTCCCTCCGCCATCCGAAGCTCGCTCATCCAACCTCTCGTTCCACCACGTTCTCCTCTACACATCCCGAACAATCTCAACAACGTCGACCACAAAGGGACTGCACCAAATTTAGAAGTGTTCATTTGCTCAGTTCATTGCCCGGCTCGCCACCTAAACCGTCAAGATGGTCCTCGAAGCGGTCATGGTCGTTGTCGACAATAGCGAAAGCAGTCGCAATGGCGACTACCAACCCACGAGATACGACGCCCAGGCCGATGCCGTCAACGTCATTTTCCAGACCATTACCAACGGCAACCCCGAGTCCTCAGTCGGCTTAATGAGCATGGGGGGTAAAGGCCCTGAGGTGTTGGTCACTCTCACGACAGATCAGGGCAAAATCCTGGATGGTCTGCACCGCACGAAGACCAAGATCAAGGGGACATCACACCTGGCTACGGGCATCCAAGTCGCCGGAGTGAGTTCAGATACTTCCTCAGTCCTTTTTAATTATCTCTACTGACGTGCTTTGCCCCCTTCAGCTTGCCCTGAAGCACCGTCAGAACAAATCCCAACGGCAACGGATAATCGTCTTCGTCTGCTCGCCCATCGAAGAGGAAGAGAAGAAATTAGTCCAGCTGGCCAAGAAAATGAAGAAGGGCAATGTCTCGGTCGATTTCGTGCTTTTCGGCGATCTGGACGATGACGATACGCAGAAGAAACTGCAGGCGTTCAATGAGAGCGTCAAGGGTGGCGAAGGCTCTAACCTGGTCGTTATTCCCCCGAGCAGCAAGCTTCTTAGCGACCAGCTCATCTCGAGTCCGATCCTTCTCGGTGACTCTGCTGGTGGAAGCGGTGGCGGCGGTGGTGGAAGTGGCGGCGGCGAGAGCAGCGGCGGTAACTTTGGCGAGTTTGACTTTGACCCTGCCATGGACCCAGAGCTCGCTCTTGCGCTGCGCATGAGTATGGAGGACGAGAAGGCAAGGCAGGAGAAGAAGGCGCGGGAGGAGGCCGAGGCCGGGCAGAAGGGATCGCTTGAGGATATCAAAGAAGAGGGTGAGAATGCACCCCTCCTAAACAAGGACGGGGAGCCAAGCAAGAAGAACGACAAGAAAGACGATGACACGATGGACACCTCGTAAGGCGATGGGCACAGCCCATCCTTCTGATTGACCACTACCTCGAGTATGTAAAATAGAACATTGGCACAGTCCCAAAGCCACATGCGGCTCAATAGAAAGGCGTGGTACTCCTATAAACGCCATCGATGAAGATTGTTTCCCAACCCAAACGAAATCAGACCCCATTACTGAATTCCTTCCCCCGCATCTGCCATTCAAAGCGACTGTCCTCGAAACCTAACGATTGTTGATCTCCCGGATGTACGACAGCAGCTTGCGCTCAAACATTTCGCAACGGATCGGCATCTCCAACTGGTAGAAGGGATTTTTCATGACATAATCGCTGTATAGGTCGTATATCCTCCGCAGGGTGACGTCGATATTGGTTTGTGTCGTATCGGTGAATAGCAGAAACTTGGTGCCCGTCATGGTGTTGAAACACTGCATCCGGAAGTTCTCCGACTCCATGACCTCTAGCCCTGTCGGCGGTTCGGGTCGCGAAGGAATGCCACCCGCCGCTGTCACGCTGGCTGCTGTCGCTGCCGCCGCAGCGTCTTGCCGGCTCATCAAAGGATTCAGACGGGCGGTGATGGCGTGGACACTGGTGATGGGTGTGTGAGTGTCCGTCGGATCCTCGACTTAAAAGGGCCGGGTGAAGGGAGTGAGGTTCCCGCTTACCCGTGAAACGTGCCTGCTAGGACGAGGTAATCATTTGTGCTCAGCTGATTGAGGCCGCCCTCATGGAATGTGCGATTATAGATCAAGCCTCCAGCCTTGTTAATGACAATGAGCGCAAAGACAGTCCTGTTGTCGAGGTCAGTGAGATGCCTGACTATGCAGGAAGAGGCGACGACATACATGGCTTCCTACGACAAACCAGCTCACGGCTGATGAAGATTTGAACGCGAGATATGGGAATTCCTTCTGGATATTCTCATCAATCTTTGAATATCACAGTCATGAACTTGATGTCGATATTCCGCTTGGCCTCAGGTTCGGGCAGGATACGTGGTTAAGCTGCGCCCTTACTCTTCCAGTTGCATACTTTCCCAGCGAACATGGGTCGCTAAATACACACCAGTATCCCTAGGTCGACGCCCCCCCCTTCCTACAGGTAGGTGCCTACGCTAGTCCCGAGGGACACACTTAACGGACACATTCTCTCTTCCGACCCCCCCCCCCCTCCCCCCCTCCCGGCGGAAGGGACTTAGAAGGACGCCGACAGAGGTAGGCTTCCATTGGAACATTATCCTCAGCCTCATCCACAACTCACCTACCTTACCCCGTTGTAGCTTCCGCCGACAACGGTCGCTTCACGAGATTCCTCTTCCCTTTCCACCATCCACCTGCACAACATCTCCAGCTCAGCCGGCTCATAAATCTCTCCGACCTCGATTCTTGCCCCCCCTCAAATCGGCCCTATCCCTCGATAAATCGCAAAAAAACAAAACAAAAAAAACACAGACCACCATGTCGCATCATGCTCCTACTTCGCGCCCAAAGCCTCCTCCCCCGGGCAGTGAGGAAGCCTCGACCATCCTAAATCTCGGTGAATTCCAACATGTAGATACTCTCACCCTATCGGAGGCGTCTCTGGTCATCAATGCGCTTGTGACGAAGCGGAAGATGGACCGCAAGAACATCAACGAAACCGAGTAAGCCCTGATGCACCCACCTACCGTCACGCGACACTTTTTTGCCAAAGTTGAAGCAGGCACCCTTCGAGGATACAAATAGCTAAAATTCTGTACTCCTTCAGAATGTTGACGCAGACTCTCAACTACCTTGATGCCTTCTCTCGGTTCCGCCAGAAGGAGAACGTTGAGGCCGTCGAGCGATTGCTCAGCGCACACAAGCAGCTTGCCAAGTTCGAGCGAGCACAAATAGGTAAGCAGAATGCCACCTTGCATCTGGCATCGCCTGACAGCCTTCGCTCAAAAACATCATTCGCTAACCGGATGCAGGATCCCTTTGCTGCGAAACCGCGGAGGAAGCAAAGACACTCATTCCTTCCCTACAAGACAAGATCAGTGACGATGACTTGCAAATACTCCTCGATGAGATCAGCAAGCTCCAAAGCCGATGATGCGCTCACACCGCTCGATCTTTAGTCCCTCAAATTGGCAGTAGCCGGGAGGGACACATCCACAACAGACACTCGCGGCGACACTGGGGAGGCAAACAGGTCTCACGTTGCCAGCACATACAGTCAACCGATGAGAGAAGTGGAAAACTTTCAATATCTATGGCAGGGCAAAAAGAGGAAGAAAAATGGAAAGGTCACGAAAACGCTTCTGTACAAGAAGCATACTGCATGATTGGCGTACACAGGAAGGAGGGGATCAGAATGTCTTTTTAAGTATGTGTTGAATACCAAAATACCCATGAATTCGGCATCATAAGGCCATGCACATGCGCTCTCGCAACTGGAGTCACTCTTACCTATCTATAGTGGTCACTGTAGGCGTAACTTACACAACAGACGTCATCGACGTCACTTTTTGTTATTGATTGGATTAGAAATGTCAATTAGTTGGTCTAGCTATGGGTGACCATGACGGCTCTCTGTCTCCAACTTTGTTGCTGTATTTTTTCATCAGTGCCGGTTTGAAATAACCCTGATAGGAACCGGCAATATCAGGCAAATCATGTATGCGAAAAGCAATCCTGGGTATCGTCCAACGCCTGCCGAAGTTCTAAACTCCCTCCCCTTAACCTAGCCTCCAACTCTCTCAATTCCACGCAGCATCGACCGAAGATCCTCGAGAAGCATCGGATGATGCCCCTCAAGCGATGGGATCCCACTTAGTCCAGCTGTTCACATGTCGACCTTCAAGACGCTCGTCCACGGTGGGCTTCAGAGTTCCGGTGAGAAGTCTCGGCGTGATCTCAGCGACAGGGTACAAAACGGTACTCGGGCGGTACGGCTTGTATATCTGCGCACCGCTGCGAGTACTACAAATCTCGATAACCCTGGGCAGACCTGGCGAAGCCAGCTCGGCGATGGCCGCCTGCTGGGGAGGGCCGTGAAGCTCAGGGGTGGTCGTGCCAAGGCGAGATATGAAGTCAGGAGTTGCGTTGGCAGTACGACAGATGAAGTCGGGCGTCGCATTGGCAGTGCGGCAAACGAAGTCAGGAGTTGCACTGGCAGTGCAGTAAATGGGATCAGGATTGGCTGTGTTGGGTCTCATGATTTCAGCCAACGGCGGCTGCGGAAGAGCAGAGGCACGAGTATCGGGACCGGTCGGGTGATTCATCATTCTGTCTGAGCCCGTGTTGCTGGCTCGGTTGAAGCGAATCTGAGGCTCCTCATAGTATCCTGTGACTGGTTAGCTCCATGAAACCCAGTGATAAAATGTTAGAGGCCACTTACCTCCAAAGGGAGAAAAACCATCATCGGATCGGATTGGATTGGCAGTCGTGGGTATTTTGCTCTGGTCCTCCTTCGAGCCATTCCTGCTCCCATCCGTGCTGTTGCCATCTCTGCCGATGGAGCTGATAGACTCCCGCGAACCTCGGAGCTTCCTTCTTTGCTTGGTGCAGAGGAACCAGGCAGTAATTACTGCCACAAGCACGACTAAGATGGAGACAGCGATCACGGCCTGTACGGCAGTGGAGAGGCTGTTTTCAGAATCGGGCTGAGGAGAAGCGGTCGATGTCGAAGTAGTAAACACCTGAGGGTTGACGGAGGTGAAAGGGATGTTAAAGGCCGGAGTGTCTGTAGGGTCCATAGATGGGCCCAGAGAAGTTATGGACGAGGCGGGTCGACCCTTTGGGTCAGTGTACCAGGCGCCTCCCGGAACCGTAGAATCAGCCAGGAAGACGGTGGTAGTCACGATGTTCATCGACTGAGACTGGTGTGTTGTGATGGTTAAGGTCCTGGTGACAATAGACTTCTTCGCCAACGACGTGGCAGAGATGAGAACAGGCGCAGCCACGGATGCGATAGTCTTGCCTGGCTGGTCCTTGCGAGACTCACGCGGGCAAGTGTTGCCAGGGCAAGGGTTGAAGTGGCAGCAACCGCGATAGCCCTCTTCGCATTCGAAGTAGGTGAAGCCGGCGTCGCAGGTGTCCTTGCCTCTTGCGATAATTGAGATACGCATGTCGGCGGGAGGTAGTTGTTCTTGGCGAATAATCGTTATAGATGTGCGGCAAGAGGCGACGCAAGAAGATCGACGTCGTCAATAGCTTGACGATTTGCGCATCACCATCAAAACTGTATGGTAATGAATGCAAGCGAGGTTGAAGTGAGGTAAACCAAAGAGCGATGATGGGGGTCAGATAGGCAGAGTTGAAGAAAAATGAATTCACTAAGGTGATTCAGGAGAACCGCCGGGTCTGCAAGGCACCTCTTCAACAAGCCGAAAAATTGTATTCGAAAGAAAAGGCCAAGGGAAAGAGGAAATGCTCTCAAAGTACCTAGGTAAGTAGGTAGATTGGTCGCTGGTAGCTTGGAAATGAATGGATGGAAGGAAGAAGTGAAGGAAGGGAAGGGGCGATGGGCGTTGCCTGCCTCCCCTACATGCCTACAGTGTCTTCATCTTCTCCTAATTTTAGTCTTCTCGCCTGGGTAGACCATGGGCCTCTAGCTCAACCAACTCTTTATTCTCTTCTCTTCTCTTTTCTCTCCTCTTACGGGCAGTTACCGAGAACTCTCGAATTTGGGCTGATGATCACGCCAAGGCATTACTACAGTCACCAGTGAGCACTCGCAGACCAGCCTCGAGCCGACCTCCACACCAGATGAGACAACACACTGGACGCCAACTTACACTACAGAGAAGGGTGGCCAGTCTTCTATCTTTGATGCTTGTCCGTTTGGCCGTATCCGGGGGAGGACCGCCCTACGGTGTTTGCTCTCGGATGAATGCTGTCCATGGACAAGTAGCAAAAGCCGTGTCATCACCCCTCACGATTCGGCAACGCAAGAGCCGAGCCCCAATGACGGAAATGGACACGGTAGGACGAGACCAAATGCAGCAAGCCCGTTGTATTTGCCACCACGTCACGGGCCGAGACAATGGCTATCGACCCGATGGCTAAGCCCCCATCACCGCTCGGCTACATCCAAAAGCGGATGCGAAATGCAAGATTCCACCATGATAGCGCTTCACCTGCGATGTTGTCTCGATGCTATACGTTTAAACCCCCAAACTTGATTTATTCGATGCCTACCCTTAAGACTAACCGTGTTGCACGCCATTGTCGATACACATACTGCCACGCGTATGTGGGTATTTGAAAACATTACGAAGAACTGTTTGCTCACCAATCCGGGTTCATTTTTGTACAGAAACGGCACTACAGCTTCTCCAGCAGAAGCTTGCTACCAAGGTTGCCCATGGGCTTGTCCGATTTGGCAGTGCCCTTCTTGCTCTTCTTCGCGCCCTTGTCGCTCTTTTCGCTTTCCTTCTGGGCCTTGGCTTCCTTGGCCTCTTTCTGCTCGGCCGTCTCCTCCGTGGCTGCTTTTTCGAGAGCCTTCTTGTGCTTCTTGAGCATCTTCTTCAATTCAGATGCGTGGCTAAAGTCTTTTGCTTCTAGCATATTGAGCACAACGAACGAGCTCGGTCCTGTTGCCCAGTCCAGAATATAATCCTTGATGACCGGGTACAGAACGTCGGCAAACTTTAGTGGTGGCTCAATGGGCTCGACCTTGCCGGTCTCCTTATTAAACTTGCCACCGGCGATGAGCGTTTTGATCAACCGACCTCCAAATGGTGTCCGCGAGACGTGGATAGAGGTCGTGACTCCCTCCACCTCCATGGGCTCTGCGCTTGGATCACCCTCAGCAACCGCAGCTACGGCCTCAAGAGCAGTTGTCTTGTCACCCACAGCACAGAGGAGAACGTCCGCAACCAACTGGCAGCCAAAGGGGTCTGCCACCAAAGTTGGCGCAGCAGAAGCAACAGCCTCCAAAAGCGCCGGTGATATAACAGCAATCAACTCCTTTCTCCGCACCTCGGCGTCTTTCTTGCTGGTTGTTTGACGGATTGCGTGGACCTCTTTGAGGATGGCCAAGTCCTCACTCATGTTCGCAGGGAAGAGGGCTCTAGACTGGCCTTCCAACAGATAGAGAAGGGTAGCCCTCGCATAGGGATTTATTGTAGAGACAACAATGTTTTCTGTCGCCTTCTCTTTGTCATCGCCAATCAGCTCAGGGAAGATAGCCTTTGATGACATCTTTGTGTCATCGATCACGTCGAAAGCGGTGAGGATAACGATGTGTGCAAACGGGTCGCCTGACATCAGAACGAAGTTGTCCTTGTAAGCCTTGAGCAGGTTTCTACGGTCCTTGGAGGTGCCGTTGGCCAATAGCAATGCCACCAGCCGGGATCCCGAGCGGGTGAACGCCATGTTCTTCAGCAAATCGCCCTCCTCGTCGTCCTTGATCATCTCAATGAAGAGGTTGAAATCTTCTGTGCCAGGCTTGATATTCAAGAAGTATTGCAGCATGGCGTCGTGCAGCATGGTGAAACCGGTCATCTTCTTCTGGACGAGCGAGTTGATCATGTCATGCAGACTTTTCAGGATGGGCTGTTTCTTGTTGGGATTCTTCTCGAGGATCTCGGCTAGGTCAGAGGTCGGCTTCTCGTCCTTGCTGCGCTCAAGGAGAGCGAACTCGGGTCCATACCATTCTCTCAGGAGAATGGCCTTTTGCTCCTTTGTCGCAATCTGTCGGTAGATGTCGTCGAGAATCCATGATGCCTCAGGGTGGTTGATCAGCTTGCGCACCTTGCCGTAGAACTCAGGGATGATGAGGTCCTTGATCTCGCCGTCGGCCTGTACTACCATCTTGGCAATGAGAAACTTGGCGTATCGACTCTCAGCCAGCTGAGTGTAGGTTCCCTGCAGTTCACGGGTGATCTGTTTCCGTTGCGCGGCGGTGGCATACTTGAGAGCGGTCTGGACAGCGCGCGTGGCGTCGTGCTTCATGACGAAATCCTTGATCCGGCCGGTGATAATGGTGAAAAGCTCATCTACCAACTGCTTCCGTTCCTCGGATGGCACATGAGATTTCCTCCGCAATCGCTCCCAGATCTTCTTGGTTCGTGCCAGCTCATCGGAGAGGGGCTTCGCGGCCTTGCGCTCGAGGGCCAGCTTCTTCTGGATGGCATGGGACTCTTTTGAGTTTTGGCCTGTTGCAACTGTATGTAAGCGTTTGCAATTGAGAGCTTGCAGCAAGCGTATCATCCCCCCAGGGTTTTCTTTACCTCTCTCGAAGACCTTGTTCTTCTCAGCACCATTGGCGCCTTCCTTTTTGCCCTTGGCTTGAGCCTGCTGCGCCCTGTCACGAGGGTTCAGCTGGACACCCCCATCATCCGACTCCGAGTCCGAAGGTGACTTGTCGAGATCGTCCTCATTGTCGCTCTCAGGGGCCTTGACAGGCTCCGCGTTCTTCTTTGAGTCAATCTTGGCCTTCTTGGAGAACTTTCCATCAGAAGCACCCTTGCCGGCGGGAGCACTCTTTCTCTTGACACCATTGGAGGATGCCATTGTGCAGAGAATCGTATGTGTGGCTGTTTGGAGAGGGGGCAAGTTGCGGTTGTGGACAGCCGCAGAATCGCAATCCGTAAACTTCTCTCGGAGGGTACAAAGAGAGGGCGACCGACGGTGGGTGCGAACTTACAGCGGTAGCAGAATTGCCTGGGAAATTCAGAAATTTTTATTTCAATTGCCGGGCGGTCAGCGTGAGCTAGGCTGTATTGAGCGCATAACCCCACCACTGCACAAGTACGTACCTATGCTATCGATGGCATCTTTAGCAACGACCTTGGGCCTGTAAACAGCACCATCACGCCTTTCTTTTGAGCTACCAAGAGAATAACAGGTCTCAAGAGCTGAAAAATCTGGAGATATGGGGCGCGAAGAACAGGTCGAGGAGCGCGAGGTGCTCGAGTCCATCTTCCCGGAAGAGATTACAGGTGAGTGTTGCGATCCGTTACCCCACCACGCCATGCCACCTCAAGCAACACCATCACTAACCACTGGTGCCATCATAGATATTTCAGAGACTGAGTTCAGAATACAAATTGCCCTCGATGTCCCGGGAGAGGAAGACGAACCGCCTACAATGTTCTTACAGGTTCGCTATCCGGAAGCCTATCCCGATGAGCCGCCCACGCTCGACCTACAGTCCGTACCCAACGCCGCGCCGTACGAGTGGTTCAACGTGTCGGAAGACCGAGAGCGCCTGCTAGAGGGGATCGAGGAGACGATTCAAGAGAACCTCGGCATGGCCATGGTCTTCTCGCTCGTCTCGGCACTCAAGGAGGCAGCCGAGGCGCTCATCGAAGAGCGCAAGCAGGCGCGGGAGAAGGAGCATGAGGAGCGCGCCGCGGAACTGGAGCGCGAGGAGAACAAGAAGTTTCACGGCACTCCCGTCACGCCCGAGACGTTCCTTAAGTGGCGTGCTGGCTTCATCAAGGAGATGGAGGAGCAGAAACAGCGGGAGGAGGAGGAGCGTCTCGCTGAGCTGAAGAAGGCCAAGATCAAGGAGCCCGTCAAGTTGACGGGGAAGCAGCTGTGGGAGCGCGGCCTGGTTGGCAAGGTTGTTGACGAAGACGAGGAAGATGGCGCGGGCTTGGCAGAGGGCGTCGACAGACTCAAGGTCGAGGCTGCGTGAGACGTCGGCTTCTAGTCTTTTCATGGGAAAAGGGAGGGGAAGAAATGCATTCATTCCGTTGGCGTTTGCTTTTGGATTCTAAAGAAGGAACGACTGTGGTTCTTATGGTATATGTACCTCATCTATATGCCGCCACAAACGAACCCGTGACGACGACAATGCGGGGGAAAAAGGAACAACTTTTATGACCTTTGGACGTCTTTTTCTCTTTTCCATCCCGATTCCAGACTCCCAAAACTCCGTGATCTTAATGCTGTCAGCCGAGCCTCCCAATGGTTATGATCCCGCCACGATTCGTCTCTAATCACAGTTGCCCCCAATTCACCCTTCCATCGCCTCATCCTCGTCGCTGCCGGCATCTTCCCAGCCGTCATCCTCATCCTCCGCTGGTGGGTCGCCGAGCTCCTTATTGATGGAGGCGAGGAGCTCCTTGGCGTGCTCGCCCAGCCGCTCGTCCTCGTACTCCTGCTCCCGGTAAAGCTTTTGACATCGCATCAGCCACCGCCTCGACGTGTCCCACGTTGACTTCCAGTCCTCATCGTCCTCGTCTAGCTGGCTCTCACTCTTGCCCTTGACCTTCTCACCGATGATGAACAAGGCCCAGCCGCCCAGGTACCACGCCTCCACGCTCTGGTCGTCGTCGCCCACGAGCCTCTCGAGCACCTCGATCGCCTCCTTCTCCATCTCCACCTCGAGAAGCAAGCGTACTAGACTGATTCTCGTCGGGAAATCTGGCACGTTCGGATCCAGCGGCGGCAGGTTCACCCACAGCTCCAGGCTTCTCGCCAGCGCCGCCCGCGCCTCTTCCACCTTTTCCTGCGATATCCTCACGTTCGCCACCGTCTGCCATGTCTCCGCCGATTCTGGCGCGACCAGACCCGCCTCGGTGATGAGCGCCTCGCACCGCTGCTCCGCGTCCGCCTCCCACGACAGGTCCGTCATGTACACCTCGGCCACGGCGCACAGCGCCCCGCCAAGCTTCCTCTTGCGCTCCTCCAGCTGCGTCTCCTGCTCGGCGCTTCGCTTCGGCAGGTCCGCGAGCAGCTGGATCTGGCCCCTGAGTGACTGAGCGCCTTTGTCGAACCAGTTGACGCTGTCCTGCCCTCCTTCCTCGCTGAGCTGTGCGAGCCAAAGGAACTTCTCCGGTCCACCGCCGATGCGTTCGTCGAGGGTTCCGTCAATGTCGAGCTCGACGGCCCGCAGGAAGTAGGCCCGCGCCTCGTCGACCTCGCCCATCTCAATGGCGATGAGACCCAGGAGGTTCACCGCCGCCAGCTCATAGTCGCCACCCACGCCCGTGCCGTCAAGTGCCTTCTTGGCAGCCGAGACGGCGTTCTCCAGGTCACCCTCTTGCAGTTTTGTCGCGGCCTCGACGAGAAGCAGGGCCGGGTTGGCGGGCTTCTTCTCCGTTCTCTTCTTCGCCTTCTTGTTGGGGCGAGTTGGCGCCATTATGAATCCTATTCTAGGTTATGTGCTTGATGATGTATTCGCCGTCTGGTCTCTGGAAGAGGTTTCATGGAAGTTTATTGGCCAAACGAGGGTTGTTAAAAGTGAGTGATGAGAGTGAGAGAGTGAGAGATGAGTTGAGCTTGCGCTTGCCCGTGGTGGTGGGTTCCAACTGAGCTATGAAAGAAAAAACTCTTATCGCACTTATTGTGTTCTTATCGATAAGATACAGATGATATCAATGGCGGGGTTGCTACACCGACGACGCCAGCCGTGCTCACCGATCCCGCAACTCCCTCCACCTCGGACCACTTCCTTGTTGTACCGTCAGCTTCTTTCCCTCTTGCCACCACTTGACTAACTCTGGTTGTCGGGGGAGAGGGGTGGGGGAGGGAGCGGGCTGTTTTCCAAAACATGGCCGGAATGTCACATCAGTATCTTAGCACCTCGGACAGCGAATCCGACATGACTGAACGCTGTCTTCAGTAACACATGTGATTGGGGAGATGTCGACTTATATGGCTCTGCTTCACACAAAGGCGAAACATACCATGGGTTTTGTAACCTATCCATTCCGATGCTGCCGATGATGAAGCAGTTCGAACCTACATGCTTGTGATACTTCAATGTGGGGACATACGTGTGCTCGTGTTTGGACGGCCGCAAATGATCGAGGCTTCGTTCATTAAAGGTATTGATTGGAGACTGATCAGCCTCGTAAAGTCAGTGTCGTGACTAATTACAGCCCTGGCCCTGTCAGCCAGCGCTGTCCACAAACAGCCAAACTCCTGCATGGGTGACGACAGGCCGCCCATCTGATACCAGACTGGTCCCGTTTTAAGACGCCATCGCTAACAAAAGATCCAAGCATAAAATATAATAACCAAAACTCCATCCCCAACCCAGTATGCGTTACTTAACCCTGGGAAATTCGAGTATTTCGCGGTTGCGAGTCTATACATCGCGTACATTAATTAGGAAAAGCCCTTGCCTTGCTGAGATGAGTAATCGAAAAAGGGCATGCGTATTGGCGAGTGATCCGGCCTCTCAGTAAGCTTGACCTCTAGCCGAAGAACACCTGCTGGGAGGTCCTTGCTCATCCACGAGCTCAGCAGAAGCCCCCAAAAGATCGACCTGCTGATCGGACCCAGGATCAACTCTGCTGATACTGTGCTGAGCAACAACGCCGTAACTGGTTGGTCTTTCGGTGCTCGGCGTCCTGCGAATATTGAATTCTTCTAGAGAGGATCCACTGGAAGACAAGCGTTTCTGATGCGAGTCTGACCGCTGGAAGGGGAGTCGCTCAGTGTTTGGCGACGACGCAAGACCATCCGGAGCAGTAATGCCTCTGGGTGGCTCGCCGCTCAGAGGACCCGTGGGTGAAGTCGGCGGGATCAGATTCAACGAAGGGGCCGGTGAGTGCCCTCGTGCTGTCACAGAGTCCCTCTTGGAGCTCTTCCGCGGAATTTCTGGAATGTCAGATTTCGTGGACTGACGCCTGTGTTTCTGTGAAGCAGATCGACTTGCTTTTGACGGAACTCGACTTGATAACTTGAAGCTGCCCGAGCTTGCTATCCCCGGCAGGGTTGGCGGTGCATCAGACACTTTCGGTATGCCAATCTCTTCAATCTCCGATTCGGAAGATACGACCGAGACACCGTCGCTGAGCAGATTTTCCGAGTTCTCCCCATTACCTGGGCGTTTCCGTGCAGCCTTGTTGCTCGGTTCGTCATCGTCGGAATCAATTGGCCCGTTCCTCAAGACACCCATAGCAACCGGGATGCCTTCCGGTGGAAGCTCGGCATCGTACTCCGCATCGGCTGCGGCACGCATAGCTGGCGGCATCCGCGAGCTTCGCACCACCTCGAATCCCTTTCCCTTCTCCTTACTCTTACCACCGAACATGGTACGGAACCACCCCGCAGCTGTGGCCATTGGTTTTGTCGGGTCAGCGGGGCCTGTCCTGAGCTTACGGCCAACCCCCTCCGAATTGAGAGCGGGACCTCGAACTCCATAGTAAAAGTCAACCTCTCTGGTCGAGTAGTCTGCTCTGGGTGCGAGGTTTATGGCCTGAGGAGCTGGTGTTGGGCCCCTTGATAACTGTGCCTCCAAGTCCGCCGCAGCATCCCCGAGATGTGCACCGGGCTGGCTGTAACGACGGGATTCGGCGACGGAGGCTCGATGCTGCAAAGACGTGGACGAGCCGTTAAGGGTGTCACCACGGCGTCTTGGAGGCCGGTAATATGGGTCTGCGGATTCAACAGTAACAGCAGCAGGGGGCCGGGTGGCGGCAGCAGGGGATGGCAGGAAAGAGAACGTGCTGACTTCACCGGGCGTCGTCGGGGTAAAGTTGCTGCCACTGTCGAAGTTACGAACCTGTCCGGTATATGGGTCGATGCTGTCGAGGGCGGAGGAGCTGCGCTGTTGGCTCCGGAGGAGAAACCCACTACCTGCCGACTCGCTCCTTAACCTGCCACCGCGCATCACATAGCCGGTTTTTGACGTTTCTTCGGCATCGAGCATGCCCGTGGTAGACAGGTGGCTGGCCCGGGACAGTGCCCCATGGCCTCTCCGGGAAGTACGGCGCTGCAGCTGGCGCATGCCAAAGATCTTTGACAAACCACCACGAGTGAGACCGCGGGCATCGTCGCCTCCGGCGCCAAGGAGTCGTGCCGTGACTTCAATAATCGTAATCAACGCATTCAGAAGGAATCCGAGAACCAAAACGCAGGCGTGTATTGACAAAATTGTATAGCCGATCCATCCTTTGGGGCCTTCGGTCACGCCCATCTGTGGTACGAAAGCGACCATGAGCATGACGGTGGTGAACCGCAAAACCGAGAAAAGAGTGTGGTAAGCGTTCATTGAGGTCGGAGACTGAAAAGGCCGGAATGCATGTAGGGTCAACACGTGAATGACCTCGCAAATGGCGAGCAGGACAATTTGTGCAATCCCAACAGGCTGCACCGCGCCAATCGCAATGCCGCGGATGAATGTGACCGTAACTGGGACGAGTGCAAAGGCTGCTTCCTCATCCGAGTAGGTGTTGTAAAGCGGTCCGTAGAGCAACACAGTCGGCAGATCATCGAAGAGAACGGCTCTCGGTCTAGTCCTAAAAATCAAGTATAGGAGCCATGCAGCAAAGCATACCAAGATGAGAAGGGTAATGACAGCCAACGCGACCGCAAAGTCTTGGGACTGACTGGCAACGACCAGTTGAAACGTCGACAGTGCAACGATGGGCAGCAGCAGGTAGTTGAATACTATACGCACAACATTGCCCACAGAGAAGGGGATATTCTTGGCTCGAAGGTCCTCCTCAGGGGTATCGCTAATAAATCGCAGAACCCAGCGACAGAAGAATCCGATCTGAGTGAGGACAAGCAGCGCTGCAATGATGGCGCAGACCCAAATCATGGTCCCGGCCCAGATATCCTCGACATCGGTCATGCCCACCATTTGCGCGTAGCGGTGTAATCCATAGGAGCCGTTGGTTACATAGATCCCATCTTGGATGGGCTGCCAGCCCGGAGACTTGCTCACGAAGCTCTCGTTAAACATCAATGCGGACCAGCTCACCTGGCTGACAACAGGCTGATAAAACCCCGGGTAGTTGAGAGTAAGCCCACCAGTAAGGGCCACAAACTGGATGTACTGAAGGCAATCCCCGAATCCTGGCGTCACTAAGCGCAGCAAATCGGCATCCCGGCCATAGTTGGTTGTCCACTGAAAGATGTCCGTCGACCCCCACGGGCTGAACACGGAGGCGAACATGGTCGCGAACCCAACAAAAAGGAGCACGACGAGCGGCAAGTAACGCAAAAGATCGCGAGTACCACCCAAATCAGGGGTTATGGTGGCAGAAGCACAGCCGATATGCTTTGCCAAGTCGTCTCCATAAATGACCTGAAGAGTCGCGGCAAGCGAGGCGAAGGCATACGACGAACCCATATCGGTTGTGATATTCACTGAAGGTAAGTTGCCATACGGGTTCGTGCTGCAGTAAAGTTAGCCGGACTCAGGCCACACGAGAAAAAGAAGAGGGAAAAGGGGGTGAGTCTTACATGGGCGTAGAGTTGAAGACCGGGCTGAGGGGGCAGGAGCCGTTGACGAGGCTGTAGTTGCAGAAGCTGGAGACATTGCTGAAAGGCTCGTATGTCAAGAAGTTGACTTTGCTCGCGAGGGTAGTGACTTTGTTGCCCTCTTTGGTGAAACGGAGAATCTTGCCATCATGCTGACTAGGATCGTTCCAGCGCGGATCGCCAACAGGCGGTAGACTGACGTTATAGTACGAGCCCGACACGTTGCCCCATACAATGATTTGAAGTGAATGGTTCGGGTTTTCGGTGTCGAATCGAGCGTCAACATAAACAGGGCTCCATTGCAACGGCAACGGTTCGTAGTTCCTGTAGCTGTCGGGGAGGCAGTTGTCGAAAGGGATCAGAACGGCGGACACAGGCTGTATCAGCAGGCAAGCGAGAAGGACGAGAAGCGTGGTGAACGAGCTGGAGGGTGGCGGGCGTTTAAAAGATGGCAGTGGCCGCATTCGAGAGGGGCGGCCACAATCCATGGTGAGCGGTTGCGTTGAAAGAGATCGGTGGTCTTGACGGAGCGAGCGAGTGGCGGGTCTCTCCATCGGGGACGAAGACTTCATGGATTGGGATGGCAGCGAAAGGGCGCGTTTTCCATGTTCAAGGTAAGCGGCGACTGCATGTCTTGTAAGAGTTTCGGGAGGGGGCAGGTCTTGTGGAGGAGCGGAAGGAGGCATTCGCATGTTTCGAACCGACGTATCGTTGTAGCGTAGTCGACAAGCGCTGTCGATGAAAGGCTCGCGGCGCGGTGGGTGGTAGGCGAGCGATGCACAGAGGCAGAGAAGACAAGCACGGGTGTCGTGTGCTAGAATGCCGGCATCTTGGGGAAACGGCAGCAGTCACCTTGTTTCTGATGCTGTTGCCGGTCTGCTTCCCTTCGATTCGTCTCGGCAAGGATTGTGTCCTAACGCGATGATGTACTGTTTGGCTTTTCTTCCTGCGTATTATCTGAGCCGGTGACTGCCGGCGGGATCGACGGGCAGTAGGATAGCGTGTGCTATGAAAGAGGGAAGAAACTTGAGGAGGGGAAAGGGAGAAATATTTGTGTGTGTGTCTGACTGAGCAAGCGGCGTATGCGTGTGGTTCTGATGGTGGTGGTGTTTGGCAGTGCAGGTAGTGGTGCAGCAGGGTGGCTGGCAGGAAAGACGGTATGGTATGTATGGTATGTTGTCGCGCGAAAGAGGACAGGACAGGTCAGGGAACGTCGATGCGGAAAAGTACGCGTAGACTTGAAGCAAAAGTACGGGTACCTCTGAGTTCCGTGCCGTTTTTGCGCGAGGGGATGCACACCACCTAGGTAGCTATCTATCTACCTGTACTTACCTTGCAGGGCCCTGTCAATGCGGACTGGTCGCCCAACTCAGCATAGGTAGATAAGCATAGCACAGCACAGCATAGGACCTACATATCACTGTAGGTACATAGGCAACAGCAGCATGCCTGTAACAGCAGGGTCCAGCTCTCGGGGCCTGTTTCTGGGAAACCTGGGAAGCTCTGGAGGTGCTCTCCGCATCACTCACTCCATATTCCGAAATAAACTAGCGCAGGAATTGTACCGTACTCTGCGCTCGAGCTTTTGAGACCCGTTCTCCATGGCATGCCATCCCGTCCGGCCCCACGGACAGCTTGCAGACCACACATCATCCGTATCCAGCATGAATCCAATCCCTTCGGTCCTCGGCGCTGGTCGGTCATGGACCACCACTGATCAGTGCGTTGGCCGGTTGCTGGGAGCGACTCAGAAGCAGTCGGCGGTACGGACAGGAGGTGCCTCAAATTGCGCCTCCCAGCGCTGCACGAGAATTCCCAAGTCCTAAACCTGGGTACCTAGCTAGGTAGGTAAGGTAGATATACCTTGAAGCATGTAACTCCTCCCGTGGACCTGCCCACTGACTGCCAGCTCGCTGGGTGCTCGCGGTTGGCTGCCCGTTGGACATCCCCAGTTGGATTTGCCTGTCTCCACCCAGTAAGGCGCAGCCGAGCCCCCCCTTCCCCGTCGTTGCTTGCAGGGCCCAAGTCACCCTCAGATTACCTGTGTTAGTTAGCCTGCACGAAAAAAAAAAAAAAAGGTTTCGGCCCAGATGGGATGAGATGAGGTGGGTGCCGCCCTTCAGTCCAGTCTTGTCGCCCACGGCAGCCGACTTTTATTTAGCCGTAGTAAAAGGTACGTAGCGTGCGTCTTACACCTTGGATGCTGGACCCTTCTTTGTCCATCCAGCCCAGAGCAATATTCCAATGCGACACGCAACCTGTCAGTGCAGAACCTCGAACCTGGGTGCCTATGAATATCGGTGGATGTGGATGACGGGATGCCTCGTCGTCGTCCAAAGGGATAGTAGGGGGGGCTCGTCTAGCGCCCGGCCTGAAACGCCAGTAGGTACTGCCACCTTATGACGTGCCGATGGTATTCCGCATGAGCCAGCCTCCAAGTACCTATGCATGTACCTATGAATAGGTAATCACCTCCAAGTGCGGAGTACTATTCAGGTATACCGCCTCATCAGCTGGCTTAAGACCTATGTCTCTGCTCTCAATATCCGTACGTAGTAATCATCCATGGTACCTAGTGCCATTTCGCTTGCGACGTCTCGCACGGATGAAGAACACGCCAACCTCGAAACTACCTAGCAAGGCAACACCTCGCGACGATCGCTCCCAAGGCCACAATCGTTGACGATAGCTAAATCGATCGCGTGCTTGTCGAGACATTAAACGTCCAACAACACCACACTCTCGCTATCGTTCGTGCGCTCTCGGCCATTGAGTCGCTGCCGTTACTCTACCTCAAAGACAAAGACAGACCCGCATTGGCCAACCGACAGGGATGATCAATCAACTGATGTGGGTGGCATTATAAGAAGAGCTATGACTTCAGACAAAACCTGGATCACCGATCGATTCTATCTGGTCTGTGTTAAGGGGAAGGGAAGCATCCAACAGCAAATGGCCGGACTACCCCCATAAACCTACCTAATCATCAATCACAGGAATCAGAGCAGCAATAACCGTAGGCAACGGGCAACGGATTGCAGAAACAGCCAAAGAACCGAATGGATAGATCGCGCTGTGTCTCCGACACATCCCACTTCCAAGGCACCAAGCAGCCAGCCCGCGCGCATTACAAAAGGATCGTCCGACCGTATCACCGCGTGCGACGCCCCGAGCCCAGGCCCCAGAGGCAGGCTCGCATCACCGCCGACCAGGAGGTCCTGCCGATGTTTCTGCTACCCGAACCATAGCAACCCGAAAGGCCAGCAAGAAAAACCTGACGGCAAGGACCAGCTTTCAATTGATTGATGGATGTATAACACATGATTTCTTATTTTCTTTTTTGTATCCGTACCAATTGACATTTCATCCGGACAACACAAACCCAGACCATTGCCATAGTCAGCTCTAAACCACCGGGTGCTATTGCAGCAGAGTCTATCCGCATCCCGGAACGTCAATTGAGCCTTCTCGCGTATACGCTCGACGTCGACAATACACTCACTACCTGTACTACTACCTAATGTTGCACTGCCAGCCCAACGATGTTCGTGCAGGTACATAGCAAAGGCAGATGTTGCTCAAACTTCGCCCGCGACACGTTGTCTCTTTCGACATCACTAGTGGTGTCAGGCACTGTCATCCATCATCATCGACTGTTGACTAATAGCCCAATCACACTGCCCCTCCCGCGAACAATGAGGATCGGATTCCTTCGCGTCCCTAATACGAACTTCAGCACGAGCCAATCGCCATGCTTTTCAGGTCCCGACTGACGCAGCTATTTTCAGCATCAGGCGCAAGTCCGACGGTCCGGCAGAAAAAGATAGAAACAGTAGTCGAGAATGTACAGCTATGCAATGCCGGCGCTCAACCGCCACCACACCCCGTCGCCTCCGTACGGGTACCGCTATCCCCAACGGCAGAGCCACTTCCGTGCGCTTCCGCTTGGCTCCAAGATCGGCCCTGGTGGAGAACCATGATGCCTTCACTTGACAGCCCCTCCCCATCAGTATCCATCGCCTTCTTCTTGGTTCATGCTCCCTCAGAAACCAACGGCCATGAACACTACCGACACGAATGAAAGAGGGAAACGTATTCGATCAAGGTTCTTCGGCCCACAACGGATCACAGGCGGTGTGAGTCCACGGTAGGTATACTCCGGGTGGGCTACTCGGCCAGCATTGGCGCGACGGGAGATTTCAATCGACGTTTGCGCCTCATCCGAGCCACACTCCTCTCCAAGCATGACATGATGACCGCCAAAATGCGAACTTGAAAGAGGGCTCAGGAACCAGGCAGCGTCCTAGGCTAGTAACAAACATACTTGACAGCCATGCAGAACCGGTCGGACCTAGTCAGACCTCTCCTTCGGACAGCTGTCTGCCATCCCACGCGCGCGCCGTTACGGCAAGCCACACTTGTCTGCCGCCGAGTCAGTGGCAACCACTTGTCCTGCGCGAAAACGCGCCGTGAAGGCTGCCTGATAGGGTGCCGGTCGTGGTGCGGAACGTGATCGGGTACAGCGGCCCTCGTAAGCAGCTACCAGGCCGGCGCAGCACGAATACGATGCGCCCTCTTTAACCCCTCCCCCACCCGTTGCCATGCTGGTTCGCGCTCCTGCGTCATGGTGTGCTGCCATCCCCAGCCAGCCCCTCTTTTCAATACTTCCACGATTCTCCGTCCATCCAGAACGTGAAGACAACACGACAACGCGAAGACCCGAAGACGACGTCCGCATACTGTATACGCCTCCCTGATGGCAGGTGTAACCACCACAGCCGCCCGCGCTCTTCGTCTTGCAGGCGGCACATGTGGAGACCCAGTCACCACAATACACCTGTATGTCTGTTCGTTACCCCGTGGTTTTGTCGTTTTGCTGCATCGCATGCTGTCTCAATGTCGAGCGGATAGGAACAGCGTGGGAAGCTCCTCAAATCCCGGCTCCCCTCCCCGGCTGCCATCAACCCCGCCCCCTAGACGGTTGGTGGGGTACATACGTTGAACCAGATACGCCGACTTCGTTACCTAGTGTAAAAAAACAAAATAAAATAAAAACCTGTCAAGTCCTATAGGTCTTGCAAGTGTCGCGGCTGGATCTACGGCCTTCTCTGCTCCATGTACCTGCGTAAAGTTGAACAGAACCCGGCTCGATGGCGCCCTCGTAACTTGAAAGGGATGATGGCTGGTGAGAGATCTTGGATGACATGGCCACAGAGGCGTGGATTGGACACCAGACGCGCAAGAGGCTCGACGGCGAGGCGACGGATGCATCGAGCAAATAGTTATGTGAGTCTATGCGAGTCTATGTGAGTCCACTCATGAAAGCTAACATATGTGCAACATACTTGGGTCTTCTGATCTCTTACGCCTTAAGTGCACCAGTATTTGTTCGATAGCATCAAGTCCATTCGTCCCAATATGCCCGCCCAGAATGCACTCATTCCGTCATGCAACTCATATCGCTTCCTTCGAACAGTGCGCCAATATCAATCTCAAGCTCCAGCTCCACACCATGCTCCTTATACGCCCATGCCCCGAGAACCGCTTGAAGCCTGCTACTGATATCTTCCATCTCGATGGGCTCCAGTGGAAAGGCGGCCTCCTGTTGACCTCTGAGAACGTAAAGATCGTAGTCAGATGCGCTAAAAACCTGCTTTTTCATCTTGTTTAAATCGAGTATGAGTGACTGCATATGCGTGTAGGCCTCGGAGCATTGTTTCTCAAACGGCAGCATCTCCGACTTCATACGCTTATGTGTTTTGCTCCTCGACCGCGACCTGGATGCCAGTCTTTGTCTCAGATAGCTTCGAGGCGACGTGTCAGGCACAGTTGATGCCGGTTTTTGGCTTAGAGCTCTGCCACGTTCCTCGCCCTTTCCCTGGTCTTCTGTGTAGTCAGTGTTCCGTGTTCTTGGGCGGAGCGCGTTGAGCCGCTCTAGAGCTTTCTCCATCTCCTCTGACGGCAGATCACCATTGTCATGGCGATGGGGGTGTGTCGATGTTTCGGAACCAACATAGTTATCTCGAAAACCAGTATGATCCGCTTCCATTGTATCAAAACAATCGCCCTTGGTGCGTTTGGGTGTCAGCGGCTCCTGGCACCTTCTCGCGTTGAGGACAATCTTGCCCCGTCTCAATCCATCTGCTCTGGGGTCCACAGCTCGTGCAGCCCTTCGTCGAGCGCCACGAGGTCTTTGCCCGTACTGCTGCTGTTTTCTTGGTTCAACACGAGCAGGTCCACGGAACGGTTTATGCAATGGGCTAGAGGAAGGCGGCGGCGTGCCTAATGCACTCTTCTGGTCGAAATTGGCAAACGAATGTGGCGTTTTGGAGTACGCATGCTGACCGACATCAGGACTCCTGGCAGAGTGGATATCTAGCTTGTTAACGTCATGTCCCTTACCAGCCGGCCGGAATGGCTCGTCATCTCTAGCAATTCTTCGCTGGCCTTGATGTCTCAGCCCGTACAAATCACCTTGTGGGGCAGTGGGATATTGCAGTATGAAGGGTTCAAGATCACTCGCCTCGTACACGTCCTCCCTTTGTACAACAGGTTCTCGCTGACGCCCGTCATGCAGGGGCTGGATGTGACCTTGGTCTTTGGAACTCGAGTGAGCCATATCAGAGCCTCTCTGCACAAAATCTTCCGCCCTTGGAAGTGGCAGCCGTTCACAGGATATTGTGGTAGTTGGGGTGTCATCACGCTGTGTAACGCCACTCAGATAGCTAGAAATGCTATGTTCGTGAACGCCACGTTTGTCTGCTGCGTTTTTGGCAATGGTCCAGGGATTTGGCTTCTCGCGATGTTCTTGATCAAGGCGCTGCGACTGCAGATATTGAATAAGATCTGACCTGGGTGGATCGAGAAATATTGGCTGAGTATTTCCTTCGGGACTTGCAGTTTTGTCTCTTGACATATCTACTTCCCAGCCGGTCCGAAGTAGATATTGAGTCGGTTCGGTGCTGTGTTGCAGCTCTGCATTTCTGGGAAAGGACCAGCGATTTCGCTCCGGATGACGGATCCCCGTCGCCTCCTCACCGGTGTATTGACGCGGTGCCTGGTTGGGATCATCTATGGCTATCGCGGAGCTTCCGTAAAGTGCCTCTTCGTTGCCAATAGGGACGGTTTGGTTCTGTTGGTGTGTTTCAACGTGGCTGCAAACAGAACCACCAAAGCCATCTTTGTCAATAGGGGTTGCAATATGGGTTCCGTTAATAGATGACGGCGGGCAGGCGACCACTCTGCCCTGGTAGTTTGGCGTGGGCTCCTGGATAACTTCGGCAAAATGCGGTTCATTGCCATTTGGCAGGAAGTCGGAACTTTCTCCCCTGACCGTGCTGTCTGATTTGACCCGATCCAGGGGCACGTTGAGTTGCTCTCCATCATGGACCGAAAGTATTATACGAGGGCTTGTGTCTCTATTCTGCGACTTTCCCATTTGGACACACTCTTCCACAACCTCGGCCACAACCCTAGGCTCCGTTGGCAAGTACATCTCCTTGCACATTTCCTCAAAAAGGGACAATACCTTGGATTCATTAGCAAAAAGGACCTCGTCTTTTGCTGTTGTTACATTCAGATCGTAGCTTCCGATGATGCACTGGATATTCAGTCGTATGAAAGGTTTGGAGATTGACGTCGAGTCCGGTTCGACTCCCCCGACATGGAGTAAGTAGGTCTTGTACACGTTGACAAGCTTTTTCATTGTTCCTCTGACAGTTGACATGGGCCTCGAGTCGACAGATATGTAGTAGCCTTTTCCAGAGACCTTGGAGAGGTCCGCGTTAGCCTTCGGAAGGAAGGCTTCAAGTCGCAGTACTGGTGCCGGCGTGTCTGGTCTGGTCGAGAAAGTGCCTGAAATCGCACTTAGGGCCCCGTCAAACGTTTTCTAGACGCATTGCGAGACCAGATCGGGGCCAAAGACTTGGAGTGCCGCTTCTCTAACATGTGCCCCTTGACCGGGAGCATATGACCAGGAGAGCTTGTGATCTTTGAAAATTTTGAGCGAGAGTCTGGTGTATGGTCGAGTGAGGGCATACGTTTGAAGAAGCTCCTTGATCTGTCCGCAAGACTTTTTGCTCTCCTTGATGGCAAGCTGTCTTCGAACCGGTACGGCGGCAAACAAATTGGAGACGTCAACTGTCGTTCCCATAGAACCTGAAGCTAGTCGCTTGTCCGCGATTCCTTCCACGCCATTTTTGAGCACCAGCAAAGCCGCAACACTGTCCTGGCTTGTTCTCGTCGTAATGGTAAGCTCCGAGCAAGTGTTCATGCTTGCCAAGGCATCGCCGCGGAAACCAAGTGTCTTGCCGCCCTTGTACTGGAGCTCCTTAAAGGTCCGAAGCTTGCTGGTATGTGACCTTCGCCCAACGGCGTGGTAGTCTTCGGGGCTAATGCCATGGCCGTTGTCTCGTACCTGGATCTTGTCTACTGTGTTGGCCGAGATGCCGATTTCAATGTTGGTGGCATTGGCATCAATGGCATTTTCGACGAGCTCTTTGACGAGTGATAGGGGGGAGATCACAACGGTGGTGGACTTTAGCAGCTGGCAAGTACTCTCGGGAAGCTGAGAAATGGGCATGGTGTAAAGTGAAGACTTTTTTGTGACGATGGAAAAGAAGAAGGCGACAAATGGATCAACAACGCCGTAAAAACCCCCCAAAAGGGATCCGAGATGGCTGGGAACGAAACAGTAGTGTAGTACGAGGAGCTCACAGCAAATGAGGATATTCATGGAAGTGAGAAAAACGTCCGACTCTTTTTGAACATGGCAGAATGCGGCAACAGACATTGAACCCTTGGGCAGGAGCCATGTAAGTCATCGAACTCCTTTCCCTCTGCCTGTACCTTGACCATCCTGAAAGCCGGCACCAGCTGCCATCAGTTGGACCTGCAACAAATACCACAGCCACTACACGCACCCGAAGCTTCCTTCCAGGGCAGTTCGGAGCCTTCCCCCTGCAGGGATCACAGCAAGGTCCAAGGGGACGTCAAAGCCCCGCAGCTGCTGCTATCCTGTTCCCGAGCACGCAACACCTCAAACCGCATGCCCCGCATCGCAGAGGCCCTCGTTCCTCGTTCCTGAGCTAGCCCACCGCCGCCGCCGCCGCCGCCCGCCCTGACCAAAAGAACGTAGGCTGTGTTAAGCGAATCGTAAGCCAGACGGACGTGTCCATAACATCCGGTTTGTCAACTCCAAGCTTTACTCATCCTTCCACGAGACAACACATAGCCGACGACGCCGCACACCATCCTCGCGACAAACACCACAAGCGACCCTCCAAATTGCGTTACTTTGATACCCCTCCCCTCCCCACCACAACCTCAAGACGTCCAAGATGTCTGGCATCAAGGGACCGACCCCGCAAGAGCACGACGGCAGCGCCCTGCGTATCGGCATTGTTCATGCCCGCTGGAATGCTACTATCATCGAGCCTCTCGTCAAGGGCGCCAAGGAGAAGCTCCTCGCCTGCGGCGTCAAGGAGTCCAACATCGTCCTGCAGTCCGTTCCGGGGTCCTGGGAGCTCCCCATCGCCGTACAGAGGTGAGTACGCGCAATCAGTAGCCAAGCTTGTGACAGCTCGCTTGGGTTCCTTGCGCCGGTCCTGCCAGGGACATGACCTGCCCGCAAACCAAAGCGAGCCAGAGCTGACCCGGTCCGGTCCTCCCCCCCCTTCACAGACTCTACCAAGCCTCCCAAGTCCAATCCGCACAATCCGGCACCGGCACATCGGCCGGCGACCTTCTCGGCTCCTCAACCACGGATCTGACCTCCCTCCCCGTCGAGTCTCAACACCCGTTCGACGCGATCATCGCCGTTGGTGTCCTCATCAAGGGCGAGACTATGCACTTTGAATACATTGCCGACGCCGTCTCCCATGGCCTCATGCGGGTCGGCCTTGACACGGGTGTCCCCGTCGTCTTCGGCGTCTTGACCGTCCTCAACGACGAGCAAGCCCAGGCTCGCGCCGGCCTCACTTCCGGAGGCCATAACCATGGCGAGGACTGGGGCCTCGCTGCCGTCGAGCTTGGCGTCAAGCGCAAGGCCTGGGCTGCGGGCAAGATCGAGTGAGTAGGTCAGGCCCTAGCCCGAGAACGCGCAGATTGGAAGGGAGACGATACCTAGACCCTGGGAAAAGGGATGGAAAAATCAAAAGAAAGGAGAAAAGTCAAGATCTTTTCTTCTAAAAAGAAAAAAAATTCATATTAGGGGTTATCTATCTGGGATAGACTGATAGAAGCCCACAAAATGAATCTCAAAACCGAGAAGAGACTGTACCGGCGATCCAAGCTTCATTTGTGACATGGAACCAGCAAGCAAGCGCGGGGACAAAGAGCTTCAGACTAGACAAAACCAACGCGCTGATGTTCGTGTTTTCCCCTCTCTTTCTCCAAGAATTATTAGATTATTGCACCAAGAGCTGTCTATCAGGACTTTGCAACTAATAACCAAGCCATTCCGCCTTGCTCTTTCACTCTCGTAGCGACGCCCAGTAAACAATGTCTGCTAGAATGTACACAGGGCATGTGGGGTTATTCAAAAAAAAAAAATAAGGAGAGAAAAAGGCCAACCCAACCCCCTAGTTGAAAAGATCAACAACACAACGTCTGTATAGGCGTGGAGTCTTTGTTCCTTTTTTCTTTTTCGATATGTCCAGTCTCGTTGTTTTTGCATCCGAATCGTCCCTCTACACCCCAACCCTTCTTCAAATGTAAATGCCATTTCCTTCACCCTACGAGATCAATGCCCCAATTTCGCTGCCAATGCTCTTCTTCGTTCTCCACAAACCCCTCTTCTTCTCTTTCTTGGCCTTCATCGCGGCCCAACCCTCCTCATCATCATCGTCCGAGTGGGTGCCTGGTTTGGTAGGCGCCTTCATCTCCTGTTGCTGCATGACCTTGGGAGGCTGGTCCCATCCCATGGCTCCCGACATAATTGACATGTGTCGGCCAGAATCCAGCTGGGGCGCTTGTGTTACGGGTCTGTAACGGCCTGGTAAGCCCACGTTGCTCCGTTCCGAGGGTGCGATCGAGGGGGCATACCCGGCACCTTGGGCGTGGATGCTGGGTGCATACCCGCCGCCACCGCCCATGCCTCCGTGAATGGATGGGGTTAACCCTCCTCCAGGCTGGATCCAGGACGAAGAGCTGGGCTGCACCATGCTCATCGTTCTCGTTCGGAGGTCGAGTCGCGGAAGGTCCAGCATCGAGTCGCCAAAGTACGACTGTCTTTGGCTGTCGTGGACCGCGGGGGTACCGACGTGGCTCATGGGTCGTTGCATGCCGTTCATGTTCTGACCCGGCGTCGCCATCATCTGCATGAACTGCATCTGCATTTGCATGAACTGCTGCATCTGCTGTGTCATCTGGATTTGTGCCTGATCTCCCGGTGTAAGCATCATCTGGGGCATTTGGGGTAGCATCTGGGGCATTTGCGGCATGCCTCCCATACCACCGCCCATGGCGTTTATTCCGTTCATGTTGTTGTACATCATCTGCGGCGGGATTCCGGTGATGGGGTCGACCGGGGCTCCTGTGAAAGGGTTGACATTCTGTGCCTCCATGTTGGGGCTGCCTCTGCGCATGGCTCGAGATCGTTCCTCGCTGGCGATCACGCCGACTAAACCACCCATGGGGACGGAGGGCGCCGGGGCACCGGGTGCCGGTGAGCCTCCGCCGAACGTCAGAGACTCTCGGGGAGGGGCGTTGATGAGGCCGGCACCCAAGAATGGGTCTTGCGGCAGCTTTCTCGCAAAGGCGGGCAGGTGTCCGCCACTAGTTCCTCTGGGTCCAGTTCCCTCGCCCATGCTGGACCCGGGCCTGGCAGGCTGACCAGACTGTAAATGGACCGACGACCGCAGGTCAGGGTTCGATGCCATGTTCATGACCCGGGCAGGGGGTTTGTTCTTATTCGGGAAGCCGTGTGCGGCCAAGATGGCAAGCGGGACTTCTTCGTCCTCCTCTCCTTCGGAACCGTCAGACCTACCCGTCATCGGACCTGAAGGTACGGCTAGGTTCGGCGTGCTGAGTGATACAGAGAGATTCGGCCGGGAGGCATGGCCGGAAGGACCGGACATTGGGGACTCGCCCGTAACCTTCATCATCTGCTGACGGTAAACAGCCATGTGTGCCTCCTGCTTCCTCCTCTGCTTGGCAGCCAGCTTCGCCTTCTCAATGTCATCCTCATCATCGTCATATTGATCTTCGTCATCTTCGCGGCTGTCGTTGGAGGCCTTGGCTGTTCCGCTAGTGTTGTCATCACGTTCCTTGTCTCGGCGATACTTTTCAAACTCGGCGGGAGTCATGACTTTATTGCGAGGTGGGCTTTGGTTGCTGTTAGACGTGTAGTGGTTGTTGTGGTTTGTGGGCGGCTTCGGCAGCTGTGCCCTCCCGTTGTCAAACATGTTCTCCTCTTCTTTCTTCCCATCAGTTGCCTCCCACGCTGTCGAGAACGTGTCTTCATTTCGGCGAAACCTGCCAGGTGGGTGCGGGTTGTTGGATTGACCTGAACCACCCAGGAAGCGGCTGGCTGCCAGTGAGTCCTTTAAAAGGGTCACATCCTCATCTTCAATGATGTCGGATGGCACATTGTTGCGAAATACCAGCGGCGAGCCGTGTCGAGGCACAGGTGGTGGAACAGATGCGCGTTCGGTGGTAGTAGGGGAGTTGGACCCGGAGTCATGCAGCAGGTTGTCGTGAGAGTGTTGGCTGCTCCACGAATAAGGCGAAGCCTCCACCTTGGCGGAGTGATCAATCTTGATGGGCGAGGGTTGAGGCTGGTTTACCCTGTTCGACGTAAGGGACCGAGGTCCCAGATTGGACTTGTCGTTACCGGGAAGCGTCATTTGGCTGGCTCTCTTGTCAAATCCGGAACCCTTGAACATGGTACCGAAATTGCTACCAAAATCGAGGGCAAAGTCCTCCTCGCTCAGCTTCGGGGGCGTGGCAGTCCTGTCAGTGGAGTCTGTCAAGCCTCGCGGTCTCCTGTTGTAGTCGTCGTCCGATGACGCCTTGGGAGGCGGAGGCGGCGGAGGAAGAGGATGATCGTCAACGGAGGATGCTGCTGCTTGGTGCTTCTTCTGACCGCCAAAGGAAAAGGTCCTGCCGGCTTTGCTAAGGAATCCACCGGAACTGTGCTTGGAAGCTGGCACGTCGGTGTGTGATTTCCTAATCGATGATTTCCATTCTTCCTGAGCCCCTTGGTGGCCAAGGTCAGCCGAAGACGGTGTGGTCGAGACGTTGCTGTGGCGCGATGAAGTATCTGTCGAGGTTGTTTTAGTGGTATTAGATGACCCACTTCCCCTTAAGCTGAGTCAGTCGACGTTAGACACAATCCTTGCCGTGGCCCTGAAATGAATTGCAGACTAGGGGGAAAACAGTGTCGGCCACCAAGAGAAAGAGGACCGACCACCACCAAACAGGGCAGCAATAGACCGCTAAGTCCGAGACATGCCGCTGTGGAATGCCAGCCAACCCTCTTTTCTTTTTTCCTTCCTTCTCCCATGTACTCTTGCTTTCCAGGTCTCTCTTTCTCTCTCCGGATTCCACTTTCATCTACCCCTTTGTCTATGACCGAGAATGTGTTTTGAAATGGGGAAAGAAGAGTGATTCAAGAAGAATGGTAGGATGCACATACCGGTTGTTCTTGACGTCCGCAAACATGTTGCTGTTGTTATTGTTGTTGTCCTCGAGAGACAGGTCCGAGTGATTGTTCTTGGGAGGAATTGCCGTCGCGGTCGCCTTGACGAGTCTGTGTCCACCGTCGAAAGACTTCTGGCCTCCAACCTCGGTCCTTTCCAAGACACGGAAAGACGTTGGCCTTTCCTTCGTCGCTACCGGCTCCTCATGAAACTCGTCCGAGTCGACGGTTGATCGCCGCCTGCCGAAAGAGACAGAGAACCTAGGCATGTGGAGTACCGGTAAATGGATGCTCCCCAGCGGGATGGGTTCGGTACGCGGTTTTACACGCAGCAATTCGTAGAGCGGGCTTTGTGAAGATTAAACCCGGGGGTTTATTCTTGGCCTCGGGTCGGGGCCGCAAAAAGATGATAAAAAAAAAAAAGCGATACGAGGCGGGTCAGCGGATGTGTTATGCCGACAGGAGGCCCAGACTCGAACGGGCTTTGTTTGTGGCTCGTGTCAGCGGGCGGTGCGGAGTGTGGTACAAAAGTGCGGTAAGCGAAGCGGTTCTGCGTAGCGGTAGAACCACAAGTGTCAGCTGCTGCGACTGTGAATTGTGGTGTGCGCAAGAGCCTGCGCGAGGTGTCGTGAGAGTGTACGCGGTACGGGTATGCGTGTCGGGGCTATGTGGCCACCCGTGGGGACCCGACAGACGGGGGAATGAGGGTATTCGGGCAAGGGAGCCCGCCAGCAGCCTTAGCGATGGAGTTGACCTAACAGTGCAATGCTTTCTGCCACGCGCGCCGCGGTGTCGCGAAACGAAATGGAAGGAATGCAGATATGTATAGGTTTGGGCGGATGGGCTGAGGAATGAAGATGACGAGAGAATTGGGCTCTATGACTTACCGGAGGGGGATCTGTCGAACAAGACGAGATTGAGCGAGATGAGGCGCCGACAACGACGTCGACGGTGACCCAAAAGATGATGTGACGGCTATTAGTCTATAGAACGTATACGAGGGCGTGAAAACAGAAGCCGTATGATCTCATTCAACTTTTGACCCAAAGCAAAAAAGATGCAGCAAGCTGGAGCCGGGCTGTACAAGGCGAGAGAACCCGATGATCATGGACAAGCAAGAGGGCAGGAGGACTACGGGGCCGTAAACCGGGTAGGTAGGATAGGTGGTGATTGGGGTATTAGAATATGAAGAATAAACGAATGAATAAAATATGACCGAGCCGTGGGTCGGGATAGACACAACACGAAAGGATACGCAGCAAATGATGACAGCAAGAACCAGGGCCGGCGAAGCAATCGATGGGAGAGGTTGGAGTGAACGGGTGGGAATGTGGAAAGGAGGAGGCGATCAGACCAGTAAGTACTGGTGTGTGTAGGAAAAGTAATTTAGCAACGGCTAAGGCAGGTCAGGGTAAAGGCCGAGCAGGGGGGAT